AAATGGATTTTCAAAAAGTAATGCATTGTGCTTGCAGAAATGCGGCCCCCCCACCGCACTGGTCCCAGGAGATCTATTTTCCTGTAGGGGTTTAGCTTCATGCCTCTAAAACCTAGTTGCAACCACATTATATACAGTTTGTGTTCCTTATTGCCGTTTGACACAGCATCAAGGTAGCCCTTTCTCCAAAATACTGTTCCTAACTATTGTCCTACAGTTGGACATTTTGCAGAGTTTTTATGAATGCAAAACTAGGAAGAAACTGAGCATGAATGCGTGAAAATCACTATCCATGTTGGCAGTATTTTCTAGGGTACACACCAGAGAGGAGTCACTCACTGTCCTATTAAGAGTATGACATTCTAGATGCTGGACGGTACTTGCCAAGAAAGATAGTACAGTTCACATCCCCGGCCATTGGATCCGCCAGGCCTTGCCAACGCTGGGTACTGCACTTTGTGTCCATTTGCTGATAGAAAAGACCACCTGTTGTTTTCAGAGCCCATTTAAAATAAGGTGGCCAGGGATGAGCCCTGTGCTGCAGAACTGGGGAAGTTTGGGAACAGCCTGAGAGAAGGCCTTTGGTTTTCCGTGACTGGCTTGTGACTGGCAGGTTTAAGAAGGCCACTTTGTGCTCTTTGCATTTAGCTTTCTAATTAATGCTGTCTGAACTATATACCCTATGCAAAATGCAAGCAGGATGGCTGACCAGTAAGTACTTGGAGGAGTTCAGTCACAAAATTACTTAAGGGTAAGTATTTACCCCCTGCCTCACTTGGATTGAAAGTCAGTTGCTCTGTAACTTCTTGCAGTGTTTAACTGATAAAGGGCAAACGCCCAGCCCCTCCTTCCTTATGCCCTTGAGCCCTGAGCCTCCATTACACTTGCACGCGGTTTCTACTTGTAAATCTCTAAAATGTCCAGCACTTTATTCCTAGTCTGCTTTGCTTGTTCCAGTTCTGTCTGCCTCAGCCCCTTTTGGTGGTTGAAATCTGTCTTTTCTGTTTGTGTTGGAGAACTTTGCTGGGTGGAGAGTTCTGACTTACTAAATCCTTGGGGTCTGAAATCAGGAAAACCACACTCTGACCATACTTCACTAACCACTTCTGACTTCCAGTGAGAAAAAAGTTGTATTTGGTTACACTCTTAAAAGATAATTTTCAGCAAAAGGTAAAATCATGATTTTCATGTATAAGTAAAAGTGAGCACATAATAAAGATTTTACTTTATTCTTTAAAGACGGAAATAGACAAATGCCATAACTGGTTCAAAAATGAAGTCAAGAAGTGCAATTTTATTTATTTCTTTAGGTGGTACTGGGGTTTTAACTCAGGACCTCACACTTGCTAGGCAGCTGCCCTACCACTGAGCTGTGCCCCTAGCCCAAGAAGTGCAAATTTGTATGGAGTAAAGGAATGCCTCAGGGAGGTACGTGTATGAGATGGGGAGATACCCAGAGCCCTTGGAATTTGCAGATCTCTCACTTACAGGGAACCCCATGGATTTGAACTTGTATTTTTGTCAGGGGATTAGTTGCCTGGGAGTCAGGACTGGAGGGGCCACAGGGTAACTTTGCAGGAGAGTGGGTCTGTGATCACACATGTGGCATCTTGTATGAATGTTTATAGAGAAATCATAGGCTTCCTGTTGCTAGCCTGTGTGGGCTTTGCCACCAATGTGCCATCAGGATGTCCTCTCTAGGGCATGCCTTAGCCATCCCTGGTGCCACAAAGAGTGCCCTGACTTTTGGAGACTTTGCTAGTAGAGGCCACAGAACTGGTCTTGGGCTATGGCCCCAAACACACCTGCCATGAAAGAGAGAGGCCTTTGTGACACACATGTAGTGAGGACCCTGCTGTGCTTGTCTTCTCCCTGTGCAGGAGAAAACAGAAACCTTATTGCTCCTAGGAAGAAACTTCCTGCTTCTGTGGAAAAGCATCCATCAGCTGTAGTTCACCCTTCTGGGTTGTCTGAGTCTAGCCCTGTTCTCTGTGTCTTTGGGATTCTTTGTAAGTTATTGATAACTGATAGACTGATGGTTTGTCAACTCTGCCATGTCTCCTGGAGAGTTAATTGACTTCCTCCTGTCCTCTGGAAGAGTTTTGTCTCTGTTTGCATCTCACTGCACATGACACTGTGGCCCAAAATTTGTGCTCTTTTGACTTTTCTTTCAAGCTAGTTAGAAAATCAGCCTCACTCTCTCCAATTACCCCATTAAAATAAAATCCTCAATGTGCAGCCATTTCTAGGTCTTCTGGGAGCGATGGCTTTACTTTTCCTGAAGTTTATTTTTTAATAAATGTATCGTGAGGAGAAGCAAAACGCCTGGAAGACACATACAGAAATACATTTATCCTGGAATCAATTGCAGTTCAAGGAGGTGTTCCCTGAGACTTGACGTGGCCCCTAGGTGGTCCAATCAATAGAAACTCTGTTCACCCTGTCCATAGTGAACTTGGCCCCAGACACACAGGCTTGGGCTAGCAGCCTGTCCACGTGAGAAATCTGGGCAGGAGTCCAGCCTTCCACACACAGCATTCTCAGGCTTCTGCTGGCTTCCACCTCTTTTGGTCGGGGAATAAATTCAGCTCTCCTTTTGCAAAGTGGACATCATTGGAAGGTAAAGCAGAAAGATTCATATTAGAGGCTGCTTTTGAATGTCAGGTTTTCTGTGGTTCCCTGGGTCCTCCTCATAGGACAGCCTAGGTAAGAAGCTAGCCCATGGAATCAGTTCTTAGTAATAGTGAGTGCAGTAGGGCACAAAATTTACTCGTATTAATGCTGAACTGTTGTGAGTTTTTGTTCATGTGTGTGTTTCTGGGACTTGAACTCAGTACCTTACACTTGCTAGCCAGGCACTCTACCACTTGAGCCACAGGGTTATTTTTCAAATAGCACCTTATGTTTATGCCTGGGCTAGCCTTCTTATTGACGTTTTCTGTGTTGTGACATCTCTTATTGATAACAGTTCTATAAGTAGCTTATGAAACAAAATCAAGAAAATGAGAGTCAAAATGTCTTTGATTGAGTAATTACTTATTAATTTCTTTCCCCTTAAAAGCTAATCACTTCTTATCTAATTATGAAACACTATGCATATTCAGAAAAATGCAAGAAATAATATAATAGCCATCCATTTTTGAATCACCAAGCTTAAATTGACAGGTGTATACCAACATACTCAGCTATTGGTTGAGATACCTTCTTGTGAACTTCCCCCACCCACATGCTGACCTTAACCCATGATCTCTCCACCCCTTAGACTCCCAAATAGTTATAATTATAGGCATAAGCCATGGACACCTGGCCCCAAGTTTTAATTTGCTTTTTTTTGGCAGTACTAGGGTTTGGATTCAGGGCCTCATGGTTGCTAGGCAGGCGCTCTACCACTTGAGCCACTCCACCAGTTCATGGCCCCAATTTTTAAGGTCACATTTATAGGAAGAAGGTTGGAATTTGAACGTACCTATTCTTGAAAAGGACACAGTTCAATCTACAGCCACAAATAAGTCACAGTTCATCTCCTTCTTCTCTTGGGTCAATAATATTGTATTCAACTCTTGCCACCACATCAGTGCCACCAAGAACAATGGGCTTCCATTACCAGTGCAAGAGCACATGCACATACCCTGGGGATTTCTCTACAGAACACATTTAGTGGTGGGATTTCCAGGTTGTAGTATGTCTTCATCATTTCTGGCTCTTCATCTCCCATTCTGATCCATCTTGCTAGATTGCCTTCCAGGGTTTCTGTCAGTCTTCACTTTCCCACCTTGCTACAGGTCTATGTTCTTGATGTTAACAGACTTTTTGCCAAATTGGCAAGATGAAAAATGGTATTTCATTGTTGTTCTTGGTATAATTGAGTTAAATACCCATGAGGTTGAATCTCTTTTAATGTATTTATGGGACCATGTAGGAGTACTATTTTGTAGTATCTTTGGAGCATTTTTCTACTGGGTTGTCTTTTTCTTGATGATTCGTAAGAATTTTTCATATGTTTTAATCTAGATACTAAGATTGTTAGTTGGCTTTCTGTCATTGTGACAAAATACCCGAGATAAAGAAAAGGAGGTAAGCTCTGTTTTGGATCAAGGTTTTGGAGGTTTCAGTTCATGGTCACTTGGCTCTGTTGTTTCTAGGGCAACACATCATGGTGGGAGAGAAATGATGTTCACCTCATTGTTGCCGGGAAGAAGAGTAAGAATGAAAGAGGAGAGAGAGATGGGGGGTTGGGGGGGCGGAGAGAATATGAATGTAAAGGAGCCAGCGTTCCAGTCTACCCTTCAAGGGCACTCCAGTGACCTACTTCTTCCCACCTCCTAATGTTTTTACCACCTCCCAGTAGTGCCACCAGTTGGGGACCAAGCCTTCAACACACTGGCCTATGGGGGACATTTCTGAGCCAAACCATAATACTAAGTTTTCTGTTTTTAAAATATCTTCTCCTGGTCTATGTTGCTTTTCCACATGATATATGGAGTCTTTTATCATTATTAAATTTTAATCATTGTCCTGTTAACCTTGTTCTAGTTGTCTTAGTTATAATGAAAATTTAAACTCTTTTTGTTGTGGGACATCTCGAGCATGTATCCAGTAGGGAGACTGGGATGGTCCTCTGCTCACTCTCCATTCCCAACTTGGGAGCATGGGCTTCCCCTCCTCACCCCACCCTCCTACAAGGCAAATTCCAGACACGGGCTCATTTCTTGTGTATGTGCATCGAGATATGTCTATGAAAGAACAGACTCTACAGCACAAGAGTAGTGCTGTTACCTGCCCACCAACGCTAACAGTTCTCAATGTCCTCAGATGCCCACTTGGAATTAATTCAGTTTTCTGTAATTGTCCTTCCTTCCTTCCTTCCTTCCTCCCTCCCTCTTTTCCTCCCACCCTCCCTCTGTCCCTCCCTCCCTTCCTTCCTTCCTTCCCCTTCTTCCCCCTCCCTCTCTTCCTCTTCCTCCCTTTCTTTTTCTCCCTTCTCCTCCCTCTCCTTCTTCCAACTGGTTAAAAATAAATGAAATTTGCTAATCTTTTCCTTTATGGTACATGATGTTTTGGGGTCTCGTTGAAGACATCCCTGCTAGCTCCAAGGTTAAAGAGAAAGGCATTTCCTGAACACTGTAGTTCTGCTTTCCCTCCTTAGATTTCTAACGGTCTGATGTGACTGCTGGGGAGGTGGGCAGGGATTTGAGGGCTTGTTTTCTCAGCTGGGCAGCTTAGTGTGGCACCTGTTGCCTGTTCTTTGACCAGTCCATCCTCCTGCTATGGATCCTCAGTGTCCTCCAGACCGCTGGGATGACCTTACAGAACCCTGTAGGGCCAACAGCTCTCTCTGCAGACCCTGCACCTGCACTGCACTGCTTGACCTGGCAGAGGAACATGCAGCTAGCACACTTCTCCCTGGTCCTGTGTCCTGCTCTCCTCCCTTCTTGAACCTTCCCCCATCTCACCCTGAGCCGGTGACTCTACTTCTCAGTTCTGTGAACAAATGATGCAACCCGGGCATATCCACAACCTGCCAGCCCCACTTCCAACCCTTCCTGTGTTTGTGTCCCCTCCTCAGCCCTGCCTCCTGGTGCATGGAGGACCTGTCCATGCCTCTAAGCACAGCACTGCGTCACTGCGTGCTACATGCTGTCCTCTCTTCCCCTCCAGCCCTGCTCCTCGGCATGGTGGACTTTGTTTTGCTTTCCTCTGATGTTCTCAGCACATGGAAAGGCTTGTCTGGATCTCCCCTCCACCTTTTGTTCACTCCATTTGCTACCCTCACTGGCAAAAGTCTTCAAAGACTTTCCCATGTTTATACTGCCTGAATTGTCTCCTTCCCTCTGGTAAGCCTTTCACAGGTATGCTTTACTCACATGACTCCTCTGAACCTGCCCTGCTGGAGGTCTCTCTTGACCTTCATGTTGTTGAGCCTATGGCAACCCTCAGCTCTGTTCTGATGATTTTAAGATAGAGTCTCCCAAATTGGCCTGGTCCACTTCCCACGTTGCTGGGATGACAGGTACACACCAGTATTCCCATCTTTTTCCGTTGTGATGGGACCTTACAAACTTTTTTTTCTTGGTCTGGGCTGGCAAAAACACCCCTCTATCTGCCTGATCTCAGGCTCCTAAGTAGCTAGGATTATACAGTAGAGCTGCTGCACTTGGCTGGAATACTCATTTTTTAAAAATCCAATTTGAGAATCCGTTTAGTGAGTTTAATCTGTTTACATTTATTTGGATTTATTTCAGCCACGTAATTTCATGCTCCATGGTTGACGAGTTTTTAATTCTTCCCCCTGGTTTCTATTTTGACTCATCAAGCTGTTGTATGCTTGCTCTCATTTTGCACCCCATCCTCACCTTCAGTCTCTCTGGGTTGTCATGTCTGCTGGGTGTTGTTGGTTTGGGTTGTTTCTGTGGGTGTTTGTTGACTCGAGCCCCTCTTGGAAGTGTATTCCAGCCTGAAATGTGAAAGTCTCACTGTAAAGTGGACTTGCATTGACTTTCCAGGGTCCAGAAAGTATTGCTGGATTAATTTCTCAGCCTACCTTGTAAGGACAGCGTTAAATCTGGGACTGGTTTCTTTTCCTCTTCCACTTGGAACTCAATGCTGTGTTTCCAATCCTGATTGGTAGAGCTTTTCTTGTTTTGTTTTGCTTCCTCCTTCCCCCCAGATGCAAACTTTTGAGGACTCAGTGTTGCAGAGGTGGGTTTCAGTTTTAAATCCCCACCTCATGTGGTCCCAAGGCCTCACTGGACAGAAAGTCCTAAGCACCTGAATGATTGTCAGCGTGTTTCTGGCTCTGGCCCCGCCCCCCCCCCCCCCCCCCATCACCAGGCTCCTTGGGTATCTGCTTGTCTGGCTTTCAGCTTTCTCTCGGATCCTGGACCCTTGGGGATAGTCCCTTTCCCGAGGAGCTCTGCCATTATTGTTGTCATTAGTTAGTTAGGCTCAGTCTGGCATTTGTAGTGTTTGTGATGGGAACGGATTCTGGTTAACCTTAATCTTTGATGTTCTAGAACGAGAATCAGCATGATTTCTTGCATAATAAATGCCATAGGTGGAGCTAAAATGATTTTTTCAGCAGTCTTGACTATAGTTTTCTTAGTATTTATAATCTTTAGATTTGCACCATTCAGAATATAACACGTGTTTCTTTGTCCCTAGGCCAATATCAGGACTCTCAATGGCTAACGAAGCTCATCCCTGCCCGTGTGACATTGGCCACAGGCTAGAGTATGGAGGCATGGGCCATGAAGTTCAGGTGGAGCACATCCAGGCTTACGTCACCAGGTCCCCTGTTGATGCAGGCAAAGCCGTGATTGTCATTCAAGATATTTTTGGCTGGCAATTACCCAACACCAGGTATATGGCTGACATGATTGCAGGAAATGGATACACGTACGTATAAAATTCTGTTCCTCTCATTAAATTCATGTAAATTTCTGTGGTTCATTTTGTCCCCTTCAGAAGACTAAAACAAAACCCCCAAACCAGACTGACTGTTTTCATTTACTCACCGTGGAAAGGCAAGTGGGAACTTTGATATAAAATTAAACACCCATCTGATGGACCAACTAGTTCCACTTTATCCCTGGCTTCAGGTCCTCCTAGAGTACCTGGCCCCACAGAACTGTGGGGCAGAGTCCTCTCCCACATGGGAACCTGCCTACACCCAGGTGGCATAGCTTGCACAGACTTGCAGGCTCTGAAATAGACCCATGACTTGATTGTTGAAGTATCTTAGGTCTGGGCAGGTCCTGCAGGCCTGGGAGGATGACAGAGCATCTCCAGTCATCCTGGCCCAAGTCTGCACTGACCTTGTCCCCTCTGAACTAGATGGGGGTCCAGAAGTGGCACAGTGGGACCGTGCTCATCACCCAAAGCTTACATCTTTGCCCAACCAAGTGAGGCCTACATTCCTCTCCAGCCTCTGAAAGTGGGAGCCCCACCAGCCCTGCATGGGTGGTATCCCCATTTCCAAAGAGAAGCCCAAACCAGAGAGTGCACTTGTTTCCCTTCAAAGAGACACTGGTTTAAAGGAGTCTCACCCACTGTGGCACGATGTACGCTTAGTGTCCAATGGAAAGATGACTTGCACTCAGTTTCACGTTTTCACAAGATGAGGCAGCTTGACTTTGCAGGAAGTGCAGAGGTGAGCGAGGGTAGGGGCCAGTGCTGATTGCTTCTGGCTTGGCCAGAACTGTGGAAGGCACAGGCACCCTCCCGCAGCCCTGAGGACGGAATGCATCTGTCTGGGTTTTGCAGATTAGGAAATCTGGGTGCAAAGACAGCTGCTAGCAGCTGCCTGAGTGGCACAAAAGGATGGTGGCTCCTGTTGTCTTCTGATGCATCCTTAGCTGAAGTCATTGCGTAATTGGAGCAGAGATGCATGGGATGCTCAGGGCTCTCCCTGTCAGATCAAGAAAGTGAGGCAACAGCTCTGCCAGTGGTCACATCCACATCGTCCCTCGACAGCATGGCTTGAGGCTCACTCTTCACATTCAAGTAGATCTGTGTCTGTGAATATGTATCCGAGTCATAACCATTTTCTGGGTATACACCGATTCTTGGGGTGGTCACCCATTGAGCCAGTGGAGGTGGAGAGGCCTTTGGGATTTGGACACATAAAAAATTCAGAGTCTTCTCCTCTCCTCAGCCAAGCAATTGATTGTAAGCACTTTCCATGGCACCAGCAAGCCTGCTAGGAAGTGCAGGAGCCTTCCTCCAGGGTCCATTTGCTGTGGAGTTTGTGGGTCTTGGTAAACATTATTTCTGCAGAATGTCAGCTTGACCACCTGCAGGGATTCTGGAGATTTTCATTTTCTGTTTTTCTTGCAGCCCCATGAGGGGAGTTCTCCATCTTCTCCACCATTTTCCTTAGAGCTGTCAGTGAGGATCCACTGTTTCTTTTACAGATCTGAAATTCAGTATTTCTGGATTTTGCATCATCTTTGTCTACTGTTTACTCTTGCCCTGCCTTGCCTTTCCATGCCATCTACCTCTGCCACCCCACACTGTTTCATCACATTCATGGAGATTCAACCAAGTGCTGTGTATTTCTAATCCATATTTTTTTTATTCCTTTAATGCAAAAGCCTTTATTTATAATAATATGCTTAAATACTATAAATTCACAAGCATTGCATTTGAACAATTAAAAAATGTAGAAATGTTGAAATCACAAAATAAACAGTGGACATTGGAATAAATTACATCATAATTCAGGTATATTAAGACATAAGAGACACAATTATTTAGCAAAAAATATTAGTGTATCAAATAATATAGAGGATGACTTAATTTTCTGTCATTGAGAATCAGTGAAATTCTCTTTGTCACACAACCTGAAATAAATGTTTGGTCCCACTCAGACTATTTGGGAAGTATAAATAGAAGGATCACAGTCCGGGCTGGCTGGGGATAATCAGCTGAGTCCCTATACAAAAAAATAACTAAAGTAAAGAGGGCTGAAGATGTGTGGCTCAGGTGGTAGAGCAACTGCCTGGCTAGTGGGCCTGAGTCAAGCCCCAGTACTACCACCAAAAAAAAAAAAAAAGTGAGCCTGAAAGTGGTTGAGTGACTTGTTAGGGTCATGCCTCAGGGTGGGGATGGGACTGAGATGAAATTGGATTTTCTGGACCAGGTTTTGGTGTCCTGCCCAACTCTGTAGGAGGACCTGGACATCTCCAACCACAGTCAGTGGCAACTCCGTATTTTGGAAAACAGCCCAAAGTTGGCTCCATCCCTTCCAGGTTGACTTGCGAGAGAACAACTTGGACTTGGGAGTCCAGCTTGCTCTTTGTGGTCTTTTCTAGAACTCTGTGGACTTTACTCTCTGGGAAGGAAACCGTGTCCTTTAGCAGTCTGGGCGGAGGCTTGGGAAAATTGCTTGGTCATAGTGACTGGCCAGGCTCCCCAGGTGTGACCTGTAGCCTGATGCTAATGGCAAAGGCCAGAGATTACTGGGCCACTTGAGAGGTGCAACTCTGGAGAGGGGCTGGGGGTGACCCTCCGAGCCCCTGCCCCAGGCCCAGTGCAAGGTGCCCCCATGTACTACTGTGGAACATCTCCTGGGGAGCAGCTCACCAATGGCCTCGTCATCTCCTAGGGCTGGGTCCCATCCAGATGGCTGGAGGCCATGCACCTGCAGTTGTGAAGAGAGAGGCTCTAGCCTGGCACCAGCTGGCCCCCTTGCTGCAATCAGAGCTGGGCTTTGTGGCCCTTGCGTTTCCTCTATGTGACCATAAAGGCCAAGCTAGCATGTTGCTTAAGAAGTGTGATCAAGGACATGTCCAAACAACTGTGAAATGATGATGTAACGGCCATGTTTCATAGGACAATTGTTCCAGACTTCTTCGTGGGCCAGCCGCCATGGAGACCTTCTGATGACTGGTCCACATTCCCTGAGTGGCTGAAAACAAAAAATGCCAGGAAGATCAACAGGTGAGTGAGTCATCAGCAGCCATAGCTGGGGACATAGCCCAAGGAAAAGAGAGGTAGGTAGGACTTCGCATGGGCCTGGCCAGCAGAGCCTGTCCCCCGCATGGAGGAAGAGTGGTAAGACCTAGCTGCTGTATGAGCTGAAGCATGGAATGGATAAACACTCCTGTGGCCAGCCCTGGAAGCTGCTTCCCGAAGAAAGAATTCATACCACTAAGGCCAAAGGGGGTGTCTTGGAGTCAGGGGGCAGAAGTCCTGGTGTCCAGACAGGTGTTTTCAAGTGACAGGAAATCCATCCTGAATGTTTAAGCAGTCAAGCCAGTTACTGGTTTACAGAACTGGAAAGAGGTAGTGTCTGGCTTCAAGGAGGGCTTGGTCTGCAGATATCCCCATCACTCATTCTCCCAATGTCTTTGCTCCATTTCCTGGTGCTGGCTTCATTCTCAGGCAGCTCCTGCCTCTGGGTGGCAAAATGGCTGTAGCAGTGCCAGCCCCCCATTGCCTCTCTCCCAGCAATGTAGAGAGTCTCACTTTGTCCCCTTAGTTATGACTGGGTCAGACCATTTTCGAATCCATCATTGTGGGCAGGAGATTGGCCTTCTTAAACCAGCCAGGCATGAGTTACATACTGTACTTCTGGAACCAAGGAAAGAGCCCCCTGCTAAAGTATGTGGGTGTAGGGAGGCGTGGTTCATCCAAAGCTGAATTCTGGTGTTCTCAGAGAAGCAGAGGGCAGTGTTGAGCAACAAAACAATCTGATGTTCACTCAAGCCAAAGAATTTTTATAAAAAGCCAGTTTCTCCTAAAATCAAAGTAGTCAAGAAAAATTAAAAATCAAAATGACAGGCTGGAGGAGTGGCTCATGTGGTAGAGTGCCTACCTAGCAAGCATGAGGCTCTGAGTTCAAACCCAAGTTCTGCAAAAAAAAAAAAAAAAAAAAAAATCAAAATGACACAAAATACTGCTTGTTAAATCTTATTTTGCAGAGTTAATTACTGTTCTTGTAACATGAAAATCACGACTTGCATAGAGAGCAGTATGATGCATTTGTTTAAGCGTGCAGACACTTGTGATGAGAAGGAAGAGGTGTCCTGGCACTGCCTTATGCTTTCTTTTCGAATTGCATACAAGTGGCATCTCTTGCCTCTCTGATCAACAGAGCTTCCTGGCTGCGCGTCACTGTAGCAGTGGCAAGTGCCTTCCAAGTTCTGAGCAAGTGTTCTTGTGTCCTCATGGCTTAAACAGCCAGGAGGTGACTTTGCCAATTTTGCTGCAGTCTTTGGGCAGAGGTGATGGGTGATGCAGAGTTAGGGATTTTAGGAGGGAATGAATGTGTTGGTGTACTGCTCATGGTCGTGGCTGGCACCTGTCACAAGGGAGGTGGGTGGTGGATGCTCACACCATGGACTAGGTCTTGGACTCAGGTCTTATGGTCATGGTACTCTGAGGCTGGAGAGGCTGCTTAGCCCTCAGCTGCAGGGCAGAGCTGCAGCTTTGCTGGGTGTGGCTGAGGAGGACTTCCTTCCTTCCTTCCTCTCTTCCTCTCTCCCTCCCTTGGTGTCTCCGTCCTGTCCCTTCTTCCTTCCATGCTTCCTTCCTTCCACGCTTCCTTCTTTCTGCAGGGTCTCACTATGTAGCCCACGCTGACCTCAAACTTTCAATCCTCCTGCGTCTGTTTCTGCCTCTGCCTCCTGCATTCTGGGATTACAGGTGTGAACTACTATGCCCAGCTAATCCTTGATGCATAAATACCTTTTTCTTCCATTCCAGGGAGATAGATGCTGTCCTGAGGTATCTGAAACAGCAATGTAATGCTCAGAAAATTGGTGTCGTGGGATTCTGCTGGGGTGGAATCGCTGTGCACCATGTGATGACAACGTATCCAGAACTCAAGGCAGGGGTGTCTGTTTATGGTAAATCCACAGGGTGCACTTTTACTTAGAGAAACCAGGAGGAATGGTTGAGTGATAGAAAGCCCAACTCTCTTCCATGCTGTACAACACAGGGACCAACTAAGGAGCCTGGATTTAAGAATCTGGAAATAAGTTGGGGCTGGTGGCTCACGCTGTGATCCTAGCTACTTGGTAGGCTGAGATTGGAGGATCTCAGTTTGAGGCAGCCCAGGCAAATTTGTGAAACCCCACCTCCAAAAATAACCAGAACAAAATGGACTAGAGGTGTGGATCAAGTGGTAGAGCACCTGTTTTGCAAACATGAAGCCCAAGTTCAAACCCCAGTCCCACCAAATAAAACAAAACAAATCAAAAGTCTGGAAATAGAGGCTGGGGTGTAGCTGACTGATACAGTGCTTGCCTAGCATGCTCGAGGCCTCCCTTCCCCGCCCCTGGGTTCCATTCAGTAGAGGTAGAGGCTGGTCATGTAGTTGTGGGAGCCCGGGAGGATGTTACTGGGAGTGCCTGGGTTCCAGCAGTGACTGAGGCCTCCATGACTTCAGTCAGGATAAAGGGGAGAGCATTTCTTCCTGTCAGGATGGTTGATATCAAGTATTATTTTTATGAGCAACATCTGTGAAAACATTTTTCAAGATATGATTCTTCACTAACAGCGCACACACACACACACACACACACACGATGAAAAGAAAAGGAAAACCCACTCTAAAATGTAAATACTGACTTTTACATTTTAGCCCAAACAAAGCGGCCATCCTAACAATGATGTAAGAACATTTGTACCTGGAAACTGTATGCAGTTACAGCACGTGATACAGAAGCAGTGAGACAAAAAATGTTAAAAACAAACAAGGCTCAAGGGGATTTGACTGGCAAGTCACAAAGTCCTACTAGTACACCACAGCGTTCTTTTACACTGGTGTGTCAAAGTTAGTTCCTGTAGAGTGTGATTCTTATTTGGTTTAGTGGTTCCTCGCTGTGGTATTTTCACCTACTTTTAGTTCTTAAAAAGAGCATCTTAAATATTTACTTACCAAAAATGAAACTCAGCAAATCGCGGTTGCCTTGGGCACAATAGGGCCCTATCCACTGCTAGAAGTGATGCCAATGGTGCGTGCCTTTGTGGGAACAAAAGGAGCTCCTGAGCCGACGCCTCACTAGTACCACCTGCTGGCCACTGTTGTGCAGCACGTGAACTGCAGAGCACGAGAGGACAGACCCAGGGGACATCCATTTTTTGTCCAGTCACATTATGTGACTTTGCAAGAGTGGAGCAGGGAGTGTGGCCATCTTCCCCGTGGCTCCCTGACTCCTAGAGAGGGGTGATATGGGAGGAAAGACCCTCTATGTTACGTAGCTTTGCTGTGCCACTGGCAAGAAGTGGAAAAAAAAGTTATTTTTCTACCTATTCTTATCTTAAAATGGTAACTTACAGCAATATGCTCACTTCTTTTCTCCAGAAGAGGGCATCCCTGCAGGATGTTTAGAACCCCTGGGCTGCTGGGGGCATGGCTCACGTGGTAGAGTGCCTGCCTGGCAAGCTCAAGGTCCTGAGATGAAGCCCCAGCACAGAAATAAGTAAATGAATGAGTGAAGGCTCAAGCGGTAGAACTGCCTGCCTGAAGCCTCTGGGCGGGCAAAGTGTGCTTTTGACTGACTGACCTCTGAAATTCTGAGACAAGGACCCATACTTAATTTTTATAGAATGACCTGCTAAAACCAAACAATTGCTCACTTGTGGTCATTCATGTCTGACTGCAAATACTTGTTCCAATGGCTATTTCTTCTTAAGCATAAAACTGTTCTGTGCGTTGAAGTCAAAGCCTTTGGGACTCATGTAGACCAAAACTTGTAGAACAATGGTTTGAGACTTATCAGCTCTTTGTAAATGAAGGTACATCCCAAGAGGGAGCATTTATCAGTCTGCTCCTGTGTCTTTGCATATTGAGCAACCAGAAAGGTTCAATTCCATTATGTAGTGGCCTCGTTTCTAGTGAATAACGTGGAGAGTAGGAAGATCTAAGACAGTTGCTCTTTTACACTCATTTCATAGGCCAGGCCCCTTCTGTGGAATTGCTAAATAAAGAAAATAAAAAGCCCCACAACACATATTTTACTCTGACATGAAACCAAGTTCAGGCAGTTGCCTGTGGCACGACTGTGGAAGTCATACTCTCATACCCTCGAACTTACGTTTCAGGCATTGTCAAGGATTCCGAAGACGTTTATAGTTTAAAGAACCCCACGCTGTTCATTTTTGCTGAAAACGATACTGTGATTCCTCTGGAACAAGTGAGTTGCACCTTCCCTCTTCTCCTTTGTCTATTCAAATGTCTTTTTGTGTTGAAATGTTAAAAATGAGGTTTATCGGGGACTTAGAATTGTAACCCCTAAAAATTGCCAATTTAGCTTGACATCTGAAGGATGTTGCCCTTTTATGGTAACCCACAGGTTACCATAAAGCCTGTTACCCTGAAGATGGATATGCGAAATCCAGTAAGTTGATAAGGAAAAAGCAAAAGGAAAATTTGATCCAGAAGCAGTCATTCGGGCTGGGGATGTAGTTCAGCAGTAGAGTGCTTGCCCTTGCTTAGATCAAGGTCCTGCCTTTGATCCCCAGATGGGGGTGGGGTGGTGGCAAAAAGCAGTTATTTGGAATTGCTATTAGTATCTTGTAATACAAATCATTTTAAATACAAGGAGTCCTCAACTTATGACAGTTTGACTCCTCCTCTTTCAATTTTATGAGAGTGTGAAAGAAACATTCATTTCACACATTTAAGTGTGAATTTGGAGCTATTCCTGGCTCCTTCTCTTGTGATGTGACAGGAGCAGCCGGAGCGCCTGTCTGTCCCTCGGCATCCACTCTCCAGTGTGCTGGGTGCTAGCGTGGCCAGCACGCAGCAGTATTAAATTCATTATTACTATTGTTCTTGGTGATGTGGAGGATAGAAGCCAGGCCTTACACATTCTAAGCAAGTGCTCTACCACGGAACCACACCCTCGCCCCTCGAGACGCACTTTTCACACACAATATTTGCAACTCATGATGGGTTTATCCGGTCTCGAACCCATCGGAAGCCTAGGAGCAGCTGTAACTGCTGTTTTGTTATTTTTATACTGCTCTGAAATCTCTTTATGCCAGAGGTTAAGAACTGTGTTAGTTATAAAGGTAAAAATAAAGAATTTGGTATAGCGGTGGAACTTGCTTGTGATTTAAAGCGTTGATGCTCTCTTTTATGAACACTCACTGAAGAATTAAAGAATAGAAACTATTACTAAAAGTTTAAAATGATGTCTTCATACGGCCTTTTGTATGCTAGGTTTCTGTGCTGACCCAGAAGTTGAAAGAACACTGCAAAGTTGAATATCAGATTAAAACATTTTCTGGGCAAACTCATGGCTTTGTGCATCGAAAGAAAGAAGATTGTTCACCTGCTGACAAGCCTTACATTGACGAGGCAAGAAGGAATTTAATTGAATGGTTGAACAAGTACATTTAGCAGCGATCAAGTACAAAATAGCTTTAATCTAAAATTTTTCTTCATCATTTTTTACTTTATAGGAAATAATATAGGAATCTGGAATTCATTTAATTTGAAACTCATTCATATTCAGTACAAAATGTTAATTCTGAAAATTTTTAATATGCACATAAAATAAAAATGGAACTAGATCAGCACCTGAGGAATTTGAATGATTAAATAATATGTTAATTAGGGAAAACCTGGGACTCTTCAGAGTACCAGCTGAAAGCTCAGGTGTGACCTTTCTGGTATTTAGTTGCATATATCCTTTAAAATGACTGTTGGCCATACAAGACATAATGTAAACTGGGGAAAAATTAAAAACTCATGGAGACATTTGTCTTTGTCTTAAAGAGACCTGACTTTTTCACATTTATATGCTGTAATTTGAGTATTGAAGTGAACATAAGTTTCAGTTGACCTAAATCTATCACCCTGCTATCCCCTAGGTGGTGGTTTTCCAAACACTGGCATTTTGGGTCCAGGGTTGGGCCACATGTGTTCCATCACAACATGTTCCATCAGAGTAGTGCTGGTGAAGGGTAAAGTCCCTGGCCTATACCTGCATCTGTTCGGGACTAGTGTGTGGCTTTTTTTTTCCTCCTTCTCATTTGGTCCTGTGGACTCTCTCATGAGAGTGGCTTTAAACTCTACCCCTGCTCTGATGGAGCTTCAGGGAGTTTGGTCATGAGCGTTCCTATGCTTTTCATGGGACACTTTTTTTGGCAGTACTTAGTGCTTGCTGGGTAAGTCCTCTACTGCTTAAGCCAGGCCTTCTGCCCTTTTTGAGACAGGTTCTTACTATGTCCAGGCTCTCTGATGTTGTGGGCTCAAGCGATCCTCCCGTCTCATGCCATGGGCACTTCATGTTGCTGGATGGCCTAATGCATAAGGGTTTGACTCATGATGGGGTCCCCTGTCATGTTTCTGCTGACAGATGTCTTTGAGGCTCATCTGACCCATGTCTAGTTTATTCCTACCAAGATGGCCACTCTTCTTTCTCTCAGTAGGGGAGGAAGTTAGGTTAGGGTGCATCCATAGGTGACACTGGAAGCAGCTCAATAGAACACCTAACAGCAGCACGTCATATATAGATCCAGACTGAGGGTAGCACCCCTCACAGTACCAAGAGGAAATGGGGAGCTGTCCAGGACGTGTGCGCTCAACCAGGGAGTGGTGGCCAAGAGATCAGGCCACTGTATTGGGGTTCATGGGTTACTCAAGCAGGCTTTTTTTTGGAGGCAGTGGGAGTTGAACTTGTGAGGCAGGTGTTCTACCACTTGAGCCACACAAGGGTACACAAAGGGGGTTGTAAGTGTTGGACCAGCAGGCAAGTTCTGTGGAGTCACATGTCTCTTAAGAGGCCTAGCTATCTGGTCCAGCCAAGGTTGGGGTTTGGTGGGGGAAACCAGGTAGGTTTTATCTAGTTGTCCTATAGGCAGGTGATCACTAGGTGGCTGCATGAGGCAGAGGTCTGGATCCACTACCTTGAGGAACTAAGAGGAGGCAGATCGCTAGTCACTTGTCAAAGGTGACTAATCCTGGCTCTGGTTAAGAGAATTTAAAACCTACATTCAGAGCAGATGCTGAGGCAACATAAAATTTAAGAATCCACTATACTTGACTTCTTTTTTTTTGTGGTGCTGGGGCTTGAACTCAGGGCCTACACTTTGAGCCACTCCATCAGCCCTTTTCTGCCTTGAGTTTTTTTGAGAGACGGTCTCACGAACTATTTGCCTGGGCTAGCTTTGAACCATGATCTTCCTTATTTCTCCCTCCTGAGTAGCTAGCATTACAGGTGTGAGGGCACCTTGCTGTTTTTGCACCTGTCAAGTGGGGATAAGGATGCCTTTTGTGTAATGCTGAGAACAAAAGCCCGAGCACAGGTTGTACACCAGGAACCCTGAGCCACAGACTTCTAGCAGACTAATGCCTGTGCCTGCAGAGGGAGGCTCCAGGGCCTCTCCTCCACACTCCCAATACAATCCAAAATGTGCTGGGCTTCCTTCCTGTCAGTATGTGGGCAGGCGGTAGACAGGAGGGTATAAAACAATGTTAGAGGTAGCCATCCAGGCAGATCTTCCCGAGTTGATTCTGAACTTGAAGGGTTGCATTCTGATGCCACACCAAGAATGGAATGATGCAGTATTTTCAGTACTCAACTGTGTAGTTCCATAAACACACAAACCAGGAAGAGTACGAACATGCTAGTGCACAGGATTTAGCAGAGCCCCCAATGCATTAATGTAGAGAAATACGACACAGTTCGGAAGGCTGGCTGGGTTCACAGCTCTGAATGTCGCTTAAGCAACTTAGGAGGGGTTTTGATTTCCTAATTCCTTGGTTGGGCGAATTCTCTCCCCTGGTGGCAGTGGTAACCGAGTTACCACTGTGGTTCTCTCTTAAGAATTCTTTTAGAAAATCTAGGGTTGGAGATGTGGTTCAAGAGGTAGAGCCTCTACCTACCAAGTGTGAAGTTTTGAGTTCAAATCCCAGTACCGCCCCCCACCCCACCAAATTATAGTTTAGAAAAGAGAAAATCTAAGGAACCATACATAAGCACAAAGCACACAAAAGCAGAGTTAAGAATATGGTAAGGTGTGAAGGGAACTCCAAGGTCAGACTGCCTGTAATCGACCTGGCTCTACAATTTACTAGCTAGCCAGGAGAGCCTGGCAAATTATCAAAACTCACATGCAGGTGGGCGCTGGTGGCTCATGCCTGTAATCCTGCCTACTTGTAAGGCTGAGATCAGGGCTGTGGCTCCAGACCAGCTGATAAGACCCCACCTGTAAAATAACCAGAGCAAAATGGACTGGAGCTCAATCAATAAAGTGACTGCTTTGCAAGTGGAAAGCCCTGAGTTCAAACCCATCAAGCAAAGTCACATGAGATGTAAGAAAGAAATTTACCTACTTCCCTGGCTTATGAAAGCTGAGGTGATCCAGGTAGTCCTTAGATCAAGATCTGGCCCCAGGTAAGGACTGTCATTGTTGGCTAGTATTATTTTAGGAAGTAGAATTAACACTAAATTTCTTCTCACTAGTTTTGAAGACTTCTTTCCTTATTTTGTCCCTCTGACAAAAAAAAAAAAAAAAAAGAAAAAATCAGTCTAAACTGCCCCTACATCATCTGCTGGCAGTACAGCTCTGTCCATGCTGTTCTGATTCTGCTCGAATCTTTCACTGGTTTTGTCAGCACTGTAACAACATTCCTGGCTGTTGATGTAACCTGGTGAAAGCACCCCAGAACTGTGTTAGAAATACTCATCTATAACCCCGTCTCTACAGAGCATCCACTAATTAGACTGGCATAGGATCAACCCCAGGTTTCTCTCAATGTTGAAATAAATCCTGAGAACACACTCAGTGCTTAAGATACTAAAATAATATCTACAGCTTATGTCAAAAAAATCTACTCAAATCCTTTCAATTAAGGCAGCATTTAATTGTTAAAACAAATGTTTCTTAAACTTGAAGATAAAAAGGTTTAAAGAGACCTCTTTAATGAATACAAAAGCTTGTAACACAGTACTCCTACAATTACATGGCTGTGAACAGAAACCATGGTTACCACGCAGCTGTTTTTATGATACCATCTACAGTGTCTGAAAAAGGATGTAGCAATAAATAACTGCAGATGCATCACAAGACACCCATTTATTTAACCATGGTGGTTGATCTTACTACATTTTATTCAACATTTTTCTTTATTCTTCAGATTCTCCAGGCTTGCGGATGTCATCAATTTTCAAAATCATTCTGACCATTTGTGTTGCAAGAGATATCTGCTGCTTTTTGCCAATCAAGGTTTCTATGACATGTTGTTGCTTCATATCTGAAAACCACAAGTAAATCAATTAGCTAAAATAACACAGATTTAGTATCAATTTATGGAATTACATAAATTATAATTGAGAATTATAGCTGAGTATGATAGTGTACAACTGTAGTCTCAGCTACTAGGGAGGATGAGATAAGAGGACTGCTTTATCTGAAGAGTTCAAGGCCGCTCTGGGAACCACAACAAGATCCTGTCTCAAAAACAAACCAAACCACAGTGTGGAGGTCAAATGGCCACTAATTGGAGTCATACTTCATTTTCAGATGAGTAAGACTTCATTACTTCCAAGGACACTCTAGAATCCAAATGTGGTCAACTGCTCGGGGCTTCTGGTCAATGAGCAGCTATGGGGAGAAACTGTCAAGTGACATCCTATCCCACACAATATTCAGTGAATCAGAGAGCACCTAAAATATAAAGTATTGCTCAGCAATGCTAAATCACAGGCCTTCAATTAAAAAACATACTTAGCCTGACAAAGAGTGGCTATCATTAAACTCCTTGGGATGTGAGCATGAACAGAACACACCTACACTCCTATGTAAGAACAAACAGATTCTGTGGTGGAGATGGATGACAGTAATTCAAATATGATATGACCAGTGCAGAAACCACTGGACCAAAGTTTCAACCATCTAAAGCTCTCCCGAATGACACGCTAGTAGCTACAGAACAGTGTTTAACTCATGGGATATAACCACAGTACACAGTAAACTAAAGTCCATTTCAGGGCTGTTTTGTATGATATCCAGAACCCACTTTGACAGATATTTGTATAAAAAAAAAAAGGGCAGGAATTATTTTTTAAAATCAGACATTATTGTGTACACAGCCATACAGTATATAATCACTCAACTTAATAAGAACATAATCCACACGAACAACAGTGACACTCTCACCATTTGTTCCCTTATGCAAACAGTCAATCCCAAGGGCAGGGTTCTGCTCCTTTACTTGTCTGGCGCGAACTTCAGTCATTGTCTGGATGGGATTCATGCCACTGTTTTCGGAAAGGGCCATGGGGATGACCTCCAATGCATCTGCAAAAGCTCTCATGGCGTACTGCTCCAAGGTTGGACACTAGAAGGGTATAGGGGTGCAGAGTACACTTAGCAAAAACCCAAGTTAAACCAAACAAAAACACCCAGCAGCAAGTTGAAAACCTAACTCTACATTACATAATTTGAAAAGTAACGCACGAAGAGTTTAAGAATAAGCTGGCTTGAGTATTTTTAATGTCACAATATTAAGGTCATTAAAGAATAATGATGGAGGGAACATAAAATACATGTGTGAGAGAGATCTTAGAACAAAGCAGAGCTCACTGCTTCATTTTTAAGTCATCTTAATAGATTAACTTAGAATGGCTGAGGAATACTAATTTATGGTGACTTGAATTTGTGTAAGACATCAGAATGAATTTAAATTCTTGTTACGTATGACCGATGATGCTTTTGTTTGTTCAGGGTCTAGTGCCCTGTTCTGTTCCACAGCCTTGGGACCACCACAATGCACAAGTCTTTGTCTTTTACCTTATCTGCCTCTTGGCTAACCGCCAAAGCACAGGATATCTCAGCAGCACCTCCCCCGTATACCACACGATTATCACGGATGAGGTTCCGGATGACACATAAAGCATCATGAAGTGATCGTTTTGCTTCCTCGATAATCTGGGGAGAAATTCTGCGTAAATCAATGTGATCAAAACCATTCACTTTAGTGCCAAATACCTGACATCTCTGGTTTAGTCTAAGCTCTTGTTGGGTCCTGGCAATACCTCTAAAGAGCCCCAATTAAAACTAGCTTGGTTGAAAAGAGGCAGAGACAATGTGTTATAATACTCTGGTATCTGTATTTTCATCATACCTTTCCTCCCCAGAGTGTAGTTAACGGAATGCAACCAGCAGAGGCAGCCAGCAACTCATTATGGGATACATGATAAAACAAAGCTTCCAAACAATGACAAAGACCAAAACTTCACTTATCACAATGCACTAAAATTGTGAAGAACAGATTATCAAAGGCTATTTACTTGGATTTCTTGTTTTTACTTAAAAGACAGCAAAAAAGCAAATTTCCCTTGTAAAATTGTCAATTTAACATGCTCTTCAGTAAATTGTTTTTTTTTTTTTTTTTGAGGTCTAAGATTGAACCCAGGGCCTGGTGCATGTGAGGCCTGTCCTCTACCACTGAGCTACATCCCCAACCTTTGTTTTACATGGTTTCACTATGCAGCTCAGGTTAGCCTTTAACTTTTGATCTTCCTGTCTCAGCCTCCCTAGTGCTGGGATTATATGCATGTGCCATCATTCCAGCTGGTCTTCAGTAATTTTACATCATGTTAATCATTGCTTGAGAAAAATGATTTAAAAAAATGGTGACTCAACTTAAAAATGCATCGTGTGACAAAAAGCCAAACCATGTACCAAAATCAGAAAAACAAACATGACAAAGAACTGAATTCTTACCATCTTATTTCCTCCTCTAATGAAAATGGTCACAGCTCTGGAGTTCTTACACTGCTCGATGACCAGCATTTTGTCTTTAGTTGTGCCAAATGAGATCTCCTGCACAAGTCCAGCAAAGCCCAGTTTCTCAGCTGTGAGTTCTGAGAACCGAGGGACAATCCGGCCTCCTGTTGCAATGGCGATTAGCTATTTGGGGTGGTCAGGAAGACAGTGTTGTTCAATGTTAGTGAACACTGGTGAACTTTCAAAACTGGACCACAAATGAACTAAACCTAATCTAGGACTAACTTGTTTGACATAACTGCTGCACCACCATGGACAAAATTATCTTAAGTTCAGTTCCAAGTGCTTTATTAGGCAAATAGGTTCTGAAGAGCTGGACATCTCGGCCTGGCTCTGGTGCTGCCTGGCTCTATCACTACGTATGTAGTCTCCACTCTCTGTGAACTCAATTCTCATGTCCTCTGCAGCAGGCTGCCAGGAGGAAAGCTGGTATCCAGCTGTCAAAGGGCATGCATGATACAAGGTCTTCATGCCTCAGAAAGTCAATGAGAGGGGCAAGGAAGATGACTATGGAAGGCAGTTCAAAATGCCACTGAACACCAGAAAAAGAGAGCACTGTTATTCAAACAACAAAAAGATGCTAGTGGTTTCTTCTCTAGCTCCTCTCCTCGAACTGTGGAGTCTCCTACCTCGATCTCAGGTCCTCCAACCCAGCGAACTGCAGGCAGGGTGTTCTGAAGAAGTAAATGATTTGCTTCATCATCAAAGCCCCACTGGCAAATAGCTAGGTTAGCTCCAGTATTTTTAATCTGTGAAAAGAAATGCCAGAATCTTATTGATAACAAGTAGGTATTTAGTCTTTGTTATGGAGTTTGAAACAAAATGGGGAGGGGAAACACAGCTGGGTGTATAAGGTGGATGCATTAAAATATTCAAAAGCACAGGAAAGGAAAAGAGGGAGTAACATTTGAGTGTCTTTTTCTGCCAGTTCTAAATTTTAAATAACTGACACGTATCAATGGAATCACTTCATTTTTCACACTATGCCTTAGAAGTCGATCAGTAACTCATGCTGAACCCTATTACTATCATTAAACAAAAAGATGCACCAACAAAACCAATACCCACCCCTAAAAAGTTAACAGCTCTGTTTTGCCCTAAATCTATTAAGTAGTTTCATCTCTGTGTTTAAAACAAGATCAGAATGTTATGACAAACACTCATCGGAACCTTGCTTGACTCACATGAGTGGATGATATTTGAGAATCGACACACGCAGTCTCATATAGGGGTCTAAAGTGGCAAGCAATCCTGTTTGTTCATTCATTCATTTATTTTAGAAATAGAGTGTCTCCCTCTGTAGTGCAGGCTGGCCTTGAAGAAAAGTCCTCTTGCTTTTTGCCGCTCCTAGTGATCAGCAATCCTGCTTCTAGTATGAAGCACCCTTCTACCATGCACATAAAGGGCTAAGAGCATTTTCCCAAGACGGCAGGGAAATGAATGGGCCATCTCTCCTGTAGTGACCATCTGTGATTAATTATTGGACTATGGCCCACACTTCTATGGAACTATCTCCACCCAAACCTCCTATACGTCTACCACTTGTGGGTTTCCACCTCCCTGCACTCCAGGACTCTGGAATACAGGGCCATCAACACCAGACTCTGTGCATGTTTCTATCATATTCTTGCTGTACACAAACTCTGGCGGTTCCCTGAAAACGCCCCCTCCCCGCCCCACATTCCTCCTCAAAATAGAATCCTTCCTGCTCCTCAGTTTCCTATAATGCTCTCTGGGTCACTCTCATTCTTTAAAATTGTAGCCTCTAGGCCTGTCCTGCCATTCCTGCTCTTCTTTCTTAGCAACATGGAAATGTATGTGAACCACCCAACACTTTTGGCCTTAGCCAGCATTCCCATGACACCCTGCAGCTCAGACAATGTTGCCTGTAGGCTTCAATGAAGGTGGCTGTTTACACAAACCAACCATGTCCTTTTCTCAGCCCCTCCACCCCCACCAGCGCACCCCCAGACTGGAATGTTCCTCATCCAGAGATGCTGCACTGTCACTTCCCTAGAGACTCCTTCTCTGAGCAGTGTCTGTATCAGAGCTTCACTCACCTTTCATGGATTCTGTGCTGCAAAGATTATGAGTTTGTGGCTTGGTTCACTGCTGTATTTCTAGTGCCTACAACTATGTTTGGTACCTAGCAGGCATAATAAAATGCACCATGAAGGAATAAATGAATCAGAAACTTCCCTAAGAGCATGAATACTTAAAACATTAAGGTATTCATAAAATCATAGTCTGACTTATTTGAGAGAAGAATTGGGATTATGAGTGCACTCTGGTTTAATACCTGTTACTTCACAAACTTTTGTTTAAAATTATACTCAGTGGTCCCAGGAGAGCAAATAAAATTGAAGGCAGAGTGCTAGCTAATTGGGCCAACTCTTTATGGCACCCTAAACATGGGACCCTTTAAGATAAGATGAGATTTCTTTCCTCTGTGTTTTTATTATCTTTGTGACTTAGAACTGAACAGATTACACTGAATGCTACTTGTATCCACAATGAACTATCAGGATGGTAATTCAAGTTAATGCCACACATACTTAAGTCATCTAAGCAATCCCTGACTTTTAGAGTTTAAATTTCTCTAAGGACTACATGAAGACTTACTTGTCAGTGGCTGAAGGCATGGCTCAAGTGGTAGAGCGCCTGCCTAGCAAGCATGAAGCCCTAAGTTCAAATCTAATACCTGTCCCCCAAAATGGACTTACTTGTTGAATCATCTCTTCAAACTTCTCCTTTTCGTATTTCTGAAGGGCTTTAAAGTCTTCCACAGAGGTCACATCCAGCTTGTGCTTTGTTTTTGGTTTAGGTGGTTCAAATGGACATGTGAGAATGGCAATCTTAGCATTTTCCACTTTCTGTGGGGAGAAATAAAAATATTTGAATTGGTGGGTTTTAGAGTTAAAAGCCAGCATGAGGTTGTGAAAGGCAATGGCTTACTTTTGGCATCTGCGGGTGACTGAAGTCCTTATCCACGATCACACCCTTGACCAGCTTGCTGTCCTCCAGTCTCCCACCAACTTTGCCTTCTACTTTGATGAGCTCAAAGTCAACATCTCTCCGATCCATGTCTGCTACAGTGAGGACAGCATCCACAGCTATCTCAGCCATTTGTCGGTGACAGCTGTTAACCCTGATGAAAACATCACAGAGCTTTTCACATTCATTTCATAGTGACTTCTACTAAAGCAGAATCTATCACGTGAAGTAATCAAAGGTATTTTCTAAAACTGAAGATGTCCATTTTCCATAAATAATACCATCACAACCTGTATTTTCAACAGTTTGGGGCAGGGATTCTCAACCTAGAATACATAGACCCCAGAGGGGACTAAAAACTTGGATGGGGGTAAAAATTATATTTTTATTTTCACTAACTGAAATTACTATTCCCTTTCATTATAAATGTACATAAAAGACCATTGCAGTATGATAAGAACAAAATTTTTCTAAGATCACACTGCTTTAAAATACTACTGCTACTTTCTAGGTTTAAAGTAGAATGGGAAGATAAATCACCCAGGAAAAGTAATAAATCTAGGCTATGAAACACTGGAAGATTGCTGAATGAATATGTAGTCTGGAAAAACCAAAAGGGAAATCTGTCACTTAAAACAGTACTGGGCCTGTTGTATCACTCACAAAAGAGAACCATGAAACCAAAAATGTCAGTATCTGACAATGTTTTGCTTTATGGGAGATAACTTGGCTGCTATGAGACAACTTGAGCATTTTTTTTGTAGTAAAGACCTATGCAAAAGGTAGTGGTCTTTGGGTTTCATAAAGATTTGCATATTTCAGGCAATGGGATGGCTTTCTTCTGTGAGAAAATAATGCTGTAGTAACACAGGTGGCTCATGGCAAGTCAGTCCCAGCTAAGGCCTGTAGTCAGAGGACAGCAGGCATCACGGAAGGCTTCTGCCTGTGCTCAGAGAAGGCAAGACAAACTTGTACTTCGCAACCCCTCTACATTCTTCCTCTTTGCTAAAACCACCAAACACACTAAAAACTGAAGCATTCCTGATATTAAAACATCTCTTACACTGTTAACAATTTTAAAAAGCTCCTTACATAAAGTTTTTATGTGACATTATGGCAATTTGCTACAAATTTCTATTGTTGTTCAAAATAAGTGTATCCTTGGCTGAGGATGCTTAGTCTCTAGGGGACAAGAACTGTTAACTTTATGCCTCTAAGACACCAGTAAGCCCAGTACATAGTAGCAAACACTGAAAACAGCTGATGAGTCAACTTTAAAGACTATCCTTCCTTACTAAACTCAAAAATTTTAGACTAGTAAATCTGCTTGCTGAATGAACTGAAAATGAACAGAATCTCCAAATAAGACCCTCTCTAGTTGATCTCAAAGCAGTCTATGCTACTAAATTAAAGGACTATATATTTTACAAATATTGTCAAGATGATTCAGCTCAAAATGCATCTATCTACATCCACATTAAAAACAGTAACAACAACAAAAACAAAATAAAAACTTCAAATCAATACCAAGCCATTAGTGATCACACCTCTGCATTTAGGAATAGGCAAACAAATTGTCTTCCATAATGCTTAAACACTCTACTGACATGACACGTACACTTTGGAGCCCAGTGTGGTTTTTGCAGTCTGAATCAGAGGCTCAGTGTCCTTCATGTCAACAAGGACGCTATCGCTAATCTTGTCCAGGTGCTCAATAGCAATGCGGGCAGCCTGCTCATAGCCATCGGCTATTCTGATTGGGTGAATGCCTCGGTCCAGCAACTGCTCTGCTTCTTCCAACAAGGCACCAGCCAGAACTGCAAGCAAACAGAAGATATCAGTTTCGAAAACGGAAATTAGAAAGTTGCAGAGTTAAGCTGGATGTAATTCTGGAGCCCTCTTGTTTCAGTTTTAGCAAAGATCTAATGGTCTTCCCTATGGATGAATGTCCACTTCTCAGTAATGACATGAAAAAGCTAACTAGGGAATATAATGCAGGAGGAGTATTTTTAAGGGAAAACAAGTATTGTTTCCTGGGTCAGGGCCTTCTCAGTGAAATCATCCTGGTATTAAGAGGATTGACAAATTTGTTTCTTCTTTATTCCCCCACTACCAACCTTTCCTTCCCCTCATTTTGGTGCCACACAGGTTAAGTTGTGTGTATTACTGGCATTTGAACTTAGGGTCTTGTACACTGCAGGCAAGCTCTTTACCATTTCAGCCATGCCCCCAGCTCTTTTGTTTGTATTTTGTTTGAGATAGGGTCTTGCTAACTTTGCCTGGACTAGCTTCAAACTCTCCATTTTCTTGTCTCTGCTTCTCTAGTTGCTGGGATTATAGGCATATACCACCACACCAGGCTACAGGTGCGTTTGTTTTGTTGGGCAGTACTGGGGCTTTGAATTTAGGGATTCACACTAAATTTAGGGATTCAAGAGCTCCACCACTTGAGCCCGAGCCTTTTGTCTATGCTTCAGATACGGTGTTCTACCCCATCCCACTTTCTATACTATTTCTGTGTGTGCCACCACATCCAGTTTATTTTTTGAGATAGGGCCTGGCTAACTTTTTTGCCCTGGCATCCTTGAACTGCAATCCTTCCATTTCTGCCTCACTCACAGCTGGGATTACAGACATGTATCACCAGTCCTGGCCTGTTTATTAATTTAAAGTCTGATATTCTTCAAGCACACCTAGAACGATGCTTGTTAAAATAAATGATTCAAATTAGTTGCAGAAGGTAAATTACAAATATTTTTATCTCTTCAGTCTTCTCCAACTTTTCATTATAAATGATCAAGTATTTTAACATTTTGCTATGTTTCCTTCACATACATATACACTTGAATTAGTGCAGAAACCAAGAGATCTCACTATTCTATACTGCAGCATGTAGCTGAAACCCAGGACATTCTCCTACATAACTACAATGCAGTTGTCACACAAGAAACTGAAGGTTGATTCGATACTATTATGTAATTCACAGTATGTATTCAAATCTCATTGCTGGTCTCAAACATCTTTTATTGCTTAAAAACTCATCAACCAGCCGCCAATCAAAAATTACACATTGCAGCTGGTGTTCTATCTCATTGCCTAACTCACTCCACCTCCTTTCCATTTTTTCTTGACACTTAGTTTTGAAGTCTGGACTTGTTTCCTCATGATTGAGAGTAAACATTAGTTTGTGACTGACTTTAAGTAACACTTCCTAAATTAGAAAGGATATTTTTTTTATCTTTTCTTACCAACCACTCCTGTGGTTCCATCTCCAATTTCATCATCCTGGGATTTGGACAATTCAACCATCAGCTTGGCAATCTGATGATCAACATCCATCATGCTTAAAATGGTGGCACCATCATTAGTTACAGTCACATCTCCATCTTTGTCTACCATCATCTTATCCAGCCCTGAAAAGAAGACAATGTTTAGAAGACCTCTGGGCAATCAACATTAACAATACTGAATTTTTAGATTAGGTAACCTAAATCAACAAACTGGGAACAATCTAACTGGCTGAAACCAGAGAAATGGCAAACAACCTGAAACCAAACAACCCTTCCCAAATTACAAAGTGTTACCAAATGTGTATTAACTTCAAAAGGTAATAAACACTGGATGGAAAATGCTAATGAAAGAAGTGAGGGAGGAAAAAAAGCCTGATTTAAAACTAACTGTGTTTAAGAAGTCTGGAATACACCATTTAGGGTATTAGGATACCTCCATCCCACTTTTTTATATTTTTCTTCAGTGCTGGGGATCAAACCCAGGGCTTTCAGCATGCTAGGCAAGCGCTCTAGTCCTGAACTACACCACACCCCCCCTTTTGTAAATATGTGTACTGACTATTTTAGAACTATTGTTGGGACTCTTACCATTTGGTCCAAGTGATGTTCTCATTGTATTTGCGACAGCCTTTGCAGCCATTATGTGAGACTAAATGAAGCACACAGAAAACGCAGATATTCAATTACATATAATGCAATAATTAAAAACATAGCTAATTATAAAAATTTTAACATACTTTCTATTATCTAGAAAATTCTACATTTAAAAGGCTATAGACAGTATTAATCTCAGTGTATTTAGAAATCAAACCAAGTGTTTTGTGTTGTCTCATTTAACAACACATCAGGTTCTTTTACCAGCCCATTTAACAGCAGAAAAGAGATGATTCAACTAACAGGACCTACAGGGTTCAACTGTAAACATGTGGTGCTTTGAACTTTCACACTATGGTCTACTTAGAAAATACTCCTGAAGGTAATGTGTAACTCATACAGCAGTCAACCTTGTCTGTCAAAAGTTTTTTAAAAAGATTGATTTTTCAAAGAAGAAAAGTTCTGAATAATGGCTAAGAACTCAGTAACAGGAATTCCGTAGGGGCATATGCTCAGGTAGAACTGCTCTGTTCTAACCTGTTTATTTTTCTTTGCCCCCAAAATCTTCCACCTGTCTGAAATTCCAATTACAGATTAAAGTTAGCACCACAAATATTAGGATAATTAAATTACCTGGCATTTCTTCTGACTGCATCTAACTGCTAAAGTAGCAGGTATAAATTATTATTATTTATTTAGGGTAGGGCTGGGACTCACACTTGCTAGGCAGGCACTCTACCACTTAAGCCACTCTGCCAACCCATTTTTGAGTTGGGTATTTTTGAGATGAGAGTCTTGAAAACCATTTGCCTAGGCTGGTCTTGAACCAAGATCCTCCTGAGTAGTTATGATTATAGGCGTTGACTCACGGGCACCTAAACTATTTTTTAAGGGGAAAAAAAGGAGGCTGAGAGCTTGGCAAATAGAAGAAATGCCAAAGTATACTTTGCCTTGCTGCTCAGGAGAGTGGGAGAAAACTTTATTCTTCTTCTAGTTGATGCTAGAGGGAATTTAAACTTCAAGGTACCATGGTTCATTTACACTGTGGACTAACTAGATTTTATAAGCTGGGCTGGGCATTTAGCATGTTTTTTTTTTTTTTTTTCCTCTTTCGGGTTATACACTTTTAGAATACAACTCTTTAATAAGTTAAGTAGTGCCTGCATTTGCAAGACAAATTGTTATACAGTGAAGGGTCACACAACTGAAGACTCTTAACACAATACCCATTACCTTTAAGTGTTTGTAATTTTTATCCATCAAAGTGTTATGAGTATGATACTTTTACTGTTGGCTTTAATTTTTCATGTATTTTGGTCTCCTAGTCAAGTGAACTGGAAGGTATATTGAATCAGGAACAAAGAACATATCCCTTAACACTCAAGTAGGCCCACCTAGAGCATCCAATTCTTAAAGACATTCAAATGCACATATTATTGTCCAAATGAGCCTTAAGTCTTGATATTCACAATCTAGGAAAATAAACGATAGCCTCACTGTAACATCTGAACAGACTCAATCTGCAGAGAAATTCTTGGAACCCAAGAGTTGTTAGTTACAGCAAACAAATCTTCCTAACTGACCATCCTCCTCCACCAAAATCCAGGCCAATGATAATCAAAACCCTGTAAGTAACCAAGCTCGAAGAGATCCATCCCTGTTCCCATATATAGTTAAATTGATTTCCTCCAAAGTGGTTTCGTTTCTACTCTTGCCATCACCAATCTAACTCAGATCTGAAGCACTCTATGGGATTCCTAGATCTTGTCTCATCTATCCATCAGATTCACCCCACATCCAGCTAACCAGATTTTCCCCACAAATGTGTCTTTTACCAGTTCCAAAGGTTTATGTGACTCCCAATGCCTCAGCACTGAAGCTGGAATTGCTAACTTTTTTTTCTTAAAGCCCTCCACAATCTGAGACCTATCTCCTTTCTGGTGAGGATGGTCTGTGACTGTTTCCTAAACTTAAATTCTGATTCCTAAGGTACTGATGCACAGAAAGCTCTTTATCCATAAAATCTTGACCAAATTTTTAAAGCAGTGCAAATGCACATGTTCCGTAAAGCCTTCTGTTTGCCCTTTGTGGCATGTTAACAAGACACAAAGTTCATTTAGCCTGTGAAAATGCTGCTAATTCTTAAAATGCCACTTCAAAAGGTATGTTTAGAAGAATGTTTAAAGGATAATAATCACAGGGAAATGGTTCTTGACTGGGGGTGATTTTGTTTCCCAAGAGACACCAGACACATTTTTTGGCCCTCAAAACCAGAGGGATGCTCCTGGCAGAACAAGGAATGATCTGATGCTAAATACTAACATCAAGGCTGGGAACACCGATCTATATCACTGGCTTTGACTCAGACAGAAGTGGGTTTGAATGCTCTTTAGTAGCCAGGTGACACTGAGCAATTTCTTGACTAGGCTGGTCCCAAGTTTCCAATTCTGTAAAACAGTAGCATTTCAGAGTGAGGATTACATGCAATTATCTATGTAGCTAGCACAAAATGGCTGTGACACACAACTCGTAACTTTAAAACTGGAACGGAATATGAAAAAGAAGATTCTGAGCGTCTACCATGGATCAAGTACAGTGGCCACTCCTTCAGTCACCCTATTTAATACCCGTCAAGCCCTCAGCATGGTAAAAGGAGTTACCCCACCGGCGAATCAGATTCAGAGAGCTTCTGCAACTTGTCTTAAAGCCAGCCTGAGAGAACTGTTTAATTTTAAGACACCCCGCACCTGGTCTACACACGTCTGAAGCTCCCCCCCAGCCCCGATCCGACGCAGGGAGGGGCCCTCCACCCTCATCTGCATCTCGTCCCGCAATGGTCATTCCGCCCACAGGCCGCAGTGATGGCCGCGGTGTCGGGTCTTCACCGTGCGGGTTTTCTTCCGTAGCACCCTAGGGCACGCCACTCCTAAGAGCTCTCAAAACGGAATGCTCTGCGGATGACTAAGCCTTTAGGAGACAAGGAAACGAGCGTCCGCTTTCTCGGGGCCGGGCGGGCAGGTCCACGGAAGGTTAAGACGGCAGCCTCAACAGGGCGGGTGGCCGCGGGGCAGGGGGTGACCGCGGCCGGGCTCCCGGGAGCCGGAATAGGAGAGGCCCGGCCCGGCCCCGAGGGAAGCCGGCGGCCCATCGGACCCCCTACTCGCACTAAGGGCTTTCACAACGGCCTCGCCCGAGCTCACACAGGCGGGTGAGCTACCGGACTCCACGGAGGCTCCCGGGAGGAGATTCTCGGCCTTCCTAAGCCGCACATGGCAGAGCCTCTCCTCGGCTTGCGCAGGCGCAGAGCCACTTCTCTGGCCACCTCCCCTCATCCCTCTTCCAAGCGTGTCCCGGGCCGTTACCTTGAGGGCTTCAAGTCCCATAAGGCGAGACTTGCGATCTTGGTCCTTGATGATGATGAAAGGGCGCCCATATTCATCGAAGGCGAGGGTCCCCACGGACGTCATGGTGCAGCTGCAAGAAATTACTCTCTCACAACCGGCGGAGACCACTATGGAACCACAAACGAACCTTCCTCTCGCGAGAAGCCTCACGGCTCGCGCATGCGCAGTACGACCCTAGAGACTTATTTTTCAGCCGAGACTAGTTTAACGCCAGACAGCACCTTCTGGAATCGGCGACCTTCGGAAACTTCTATCATCGTGGAAGCTGTAGGGAAAAGTCGAAGACACAGAGGGAACTTCTAAAAACCAAAACCGTAGATATAGTTTGATCATTTAGTAAAGCATCACAGTTGAGGGTTTCTGAATAGTTGGTCCCAGTAAGAAACTCATTTACTTAAATCAATCTCTGCCTTATTTCCACCCTGGCTCCGAGGAGATGGTAGAACCCACTTCCGTTTCCCCTACCCCCGGAAGTCTCGCGATGGAAGGAGGAAGCGTAGGTGAGGCGGAACGGCACGGGGGTTCCCGTCGGGTGTGGGCACGTGGTGCGGAGGGGGACGTGAGGCTTACAGCTGGGTCTCCACTGCGGTGCCTCCAGGGTTGGGGTGCAGCCGGCGGGAGGCTGTCGGCGCAGCGAGCTTTAGGCCGCCGCGTGGCGGAGAATGTCCTGTCCTCGGGTCGCGCCTCCGGGTGGGCTGCTGGTTCTGTTGTGGGTTTGCCACTGTTCTGAGCGCCTTAGGGCAAAGGATTCCTTCCTTAGCACTGTTTTAAGAGAGATGGGTAGTGGAACCACATCTCGCTGGAATCGCAGCCCTGCCACGTACTAGTCGGGACTTTAGAGAAGCCACTTAGCTTGTCTGCAAAGTTTCCTTGTCTGCAAAATGGCTCTAGGAACAATAGTGTCTACCTCACAGGGTTGCTAGGAGGATTCAGGGGAAACTGTGCCTGGTCCTTAGCACGCTGTAAGCGTATTTGTTGCCACGTTGCACACATAATCCAGTAATTTTCCTAAGAGTGCACAGCTATGAAGAGACAAAGTTGCACAGCCTAGTGCGTCAGGTCCCATTCGGCCCCTGTGTTGTGCTGCCTCAGACAGGTAGTTCCTGCCAAATAACCAAACTACCTTGTCTCCTAAGTCACGACCTGTTTTATAACATTAGATTGGTTTGGTGTGAGTTTCCAGCTTCTCTTCACCTCCATTGCCAAGGGACATGGGAACTTGTCTCTGTTTTATTATTCCCAGCTTTTACTAGCCACTCAAAAGTGTAGAAATGAATGCCTGAAGCCAAGAATTGACTTTGTCATTGGATGATTGGTGATCCATTAACCTCTCCTAATAGCCCATACTCTTGCTAGACTTAAGAATGATGCTCCAAGGGCATTTTAACTTTGTAGTAGGTTATTATTTCACTTTAGCTTTGACAGGTTACTAATGTTCCCTCATTCAAAATGGTGAGTTCTGCAGTCCATTTTGCACATTAGATTGTGCTTATTTCCTGTGAAAATCCCCTACTGTGTGAGGGTTTTTTTTTTTTCAATAGCTGATAAATAGCAAGAGGACACAAGTGACAGTCCAGTACACAAAAGGTTTAAGGACCATAACATATATGCTGTAGTTGTTAAACTACATGAGGTGCATAAGTGCACCTCAAGTATTGTGATCTTCAAATACAAGCCCTCCTTTGAACGTGTGGCTGTTCACAATTCCTAATGGACCTCTTCCTGCCTTTCTCCTTTCCTTTGAATTCAACTTGAATGAAAACCTGTGTATATATATATTTTTTAAACATCTTAGTCACTGCCTCTTAATTTCAGCTGATCCAACCAGTATCAAAAAGTAAGCAGACAGTGCCCAGAGACTAGACTAGCAGTTAGTCTTGCACTACCTTTTACTTGCAAGAATGGACTCATAACTGCTCAACAAAAATAGTGGCCACTGCAGCTCTTAATACAACGGCTCAATGTTCCAACGAGTTCTGACAGAAATCTCTTGTCAGTTGTTTATATTATAGTAAGTAGTTTTGTGAATCTCAACATGGTCTGCTAGAAGGATTTATAGAAACAGTCTTGATTTTAATTTTGAATGTTCAGAAACTGGTTTTCACTGACAAAAATCAATACATTGTTTATTGAACAGAGCTAACATATTGGATATATTAGATTTGCATGATAACATCTTTAAAAGCTTAAACAGTGAGCATAGCTCTTGTTTTCTACATACAGAGTTGTGCATTTGAAAAATATGCAGGCATAAAATGAGATAGAAAATTAAGTGGTTTTGTCACAGGACACATTGCTGGTGGTGTTACCTTTCTTAACACAAATTTTGTAGTGGTGTTGGTCATAGAGCTTTATTTTCATGTATAGAATAAACACACATCCTGCTTTCTTGTTAATCTCCCACTCAGCTCTGCAAAGTGTTCCCCACCTTCTGTACCCTGGTTTCAAGGCTTTTTTTGCCCCAGTTTCAATTCTTTCTCCCAGCCAACATCTAACTGGTCCCATCATTGGGATCAATCTTCCCTTCAAACCACCTGCCCCCAACTCCCTCCATTGAACCCCATCCTTCACACAGGCTAGATGGGAGGCCCTGAAGATCAGAGGCTCTTTACTGGGCTTATGGGAGAGTACATGTCTACACAGTGAGGTAGAATTTGGACCATCTGACTTGTATGTGTTTAATAAACTCAGTGCACAAATTGGTTAAGTGTGGTATATACACACAGTGGAATATTCAGCCATAAAAAGGAATAAAGTACTGATTCAAGGAACAACATGGGTGAATCTTATGAACCTTAGGCTAAGTAAAAGAACTTGGTCACAGAAGACCACATACTATTTGATTCCACTCCTGTAAATCCAGAATAGGGGACTCTGTAGAGACAATAATGGTTGCTAGGCCTTCGGAGTAGGGAGTAGATGGGGGGAATGATGGCTGAAGGCTAAGTGGTTTCTTCTTGAGGAAATGAAAATGTCCTAAAATTGACTGATGATAGTTACAAATATCTGTGAATATACTAAGAACCATTAAATCATACATGTTTAAGGGGCAAATTGTATTAATTCACATAAAATCTCAGTAGAGGTGGTAGACAATTGTCTCCTCAAATGATTGTCTTGAGAGTGAGAGTAGCACTTAAGAGTTACAACTTATCTCTCAGGCCTGTGCTGATGCTTTGTATGTGTTGTTTTTATTTTTTTGTGGAACTGGGGTTTGAACTCAGGGCTTTGTGCTTGCAAAACAGGTGCTCTACTGTGAGCCACACCTCCAGTCCAATTTGCTCTGGTTATTTTTGAGGTGGGGGTTTTGCAAACTACTTGCCCCGGCTGGCCTCAAACTGCCATCCTCCTGATCTCAGCCTGTCAAATAGCTAGGATTACAGTATGAGCCACAGGCACCCAGCTTGTATGTGTTCTTTACTTAACCACCCCAAAAGCTGTTGACAAGTTTTTTTTTTAAACTTTGTAAAAAATAATTTCTAAATCTTACTGGTGAGCAAACCATGCTACTTACTTAATGTTAAACAACCAGTTTGAGTTCTGAAGACTCCCAACAGTGACCCAAATCCTTCCAACCCTTGTACTAGACTGTAGAAAGGCCCATAGGATGACTGTAATATAGACATGGCATATGTGCCTCGACTTTTTTTACATAAACGAATGCACAATTATTATAGGATGTATGATCCTCTGTACAGTGCCAAATTATGAGTGAAATCATTTAAAGTTTTTTCTTTCTATTAAACATGATTGCGTTCCTAAACTTAATTTTGCCTCTGTCGTTAGCACCGTAACAAACTTCCCTGTCTTCCCCGATTTCAACTGTGAAACCAGTTTTTAAAAAATCTCAGGAGTCAAGAACTGCTTTGTGGCAGCTTTTGGTGTGTCTTTTACTCAAATTTGTACCAGACCAGAATATATTGTCACAGTTCATGGGTACAGTGTGTAGGATAATGGCCCCTTGAAAGCTGTCCATCTATCTTGGTAGGGAATGTTTTTATTTTGATCACTTAGATCAAAATGTTATTACTTTAATGGTTGGTAAACCAGATAACCAGAACACCCAATCTATGGCTTTTGGTGATGATATATACCTTGGTGATAACCAAGTCCTTTGGTGACATAAGTTTCTGTGCTCATCTGGTGTATTTCCACACAAATGTTTAAAATCCCAATTTCTTGGTCAAGTGATACATTGTTTGAATTCATTAAATATATTTAGACTTAGCTATTATACAAACAACTGTACAACTAAACTACTGTATGAAAAGTGCTTCGCTGTGTTGCAGGAACATTAATTCTCTGATAAAGATGTTCATGAATGCACTCTGTATTACTTATATCCATTTTTACTTACATCTAAAATTTGCCCTCTACATTATAACCACCTTTGTGATTTTTATAAGAAATCTACAGCTCCTCAATTCTCAAATCTTCTCTTTTCTTCATTATTTCTTAGGCTTAAGCTATACAAACTTTATTGGAATCTTGGTCTTTGTGCCCATTCTTGCACTTTAACACCAGAGGCCTAAAATCCAGGATGGGAATTATATTAAATTAAACACAAAAATTAGACACAAAAAAGTATTACAGACATTTCCCCTGAAATATACAGAACGTGTCATGCCAAATCTCTTTATACAATAAGCTGGTAATATTGATGAATTGCACACATATCTTTTGTTTGTTTGTTTTGTGGGACTGGAGTTTGAACTCATGGCTTTGTGCTTACAAAGCAGCCATTCTACTGCTTGAGCCACGCCTCCAGTCCCACAAACATTTCCAAAATAGAATAACTTAAATATTAAAGTGTACTTTTATGTTACCAACATAACTGACCTTACAAGCATAACAAATGTCAATATTCAATACCAGAATCACAAAAGCCAGGAAGTTTAAATGCTGCATATCCCAACATACAAACTCATCCCCTTAAGACCTACTTAAACTGTAGGCTATCCACCTTTTAATCGTTGTTCACTTTTGCAGATGTGATTAAGGGTCTTGAGATGGGAGATTATCCTGGATTATCTAGGTGGGCCCAATTCAAAAGGGTCCCTATAAAGAAAGAGGGAAACAGCTGTGAGATAAAGAGATACTAAGATGGAAGTGGAGGTGGGAGTGATGTGGGGGTCAGGAGTCAAGAAATGTGGGAAGCTGGCAAACGAGCCCTTGAGGAATGCAACTCTGCCAACTGGTTGTAGACATCTGACTTCCAGCACTGTAGGGTAGTGTGCATGTTGTTTTCAGTCAGGAAGTGTGTGGTGGTTTCTTTCAGCAACTTGACACTAATGTGGTAGGCCTTTTGAATAATTTACTGATAATGAAGTTGTGTACAGCCAAGTCTGCAAACGACAAGCCTCTTGTCATCACCCTTACCCATTCCTGTTTCCTATGGATTCTTGTTGTTTTAGACTTCCTAAGTGCTTTATCTGAATCCATCCATTCCATCCTCACAACAACCCTGGCACCCCTACTTTGCAAATGGGGAGATAGGTTCAGTGAGGAGAAGGGATTCAGAGTCATGCTATCAGTCAGGGGACAGAGCTGGCATCCAGGGGAGTCTGCTGTGACCTGCTGTGCTGTCATTTGTCAATTTCATATCCTACTAGGAATGAGTCTTAAAGGACAGAACTCAAAGGAAGATATGAAAGGGGACATTCCTTTCTCTACAGTCAGGGATTGGAGTTTGTTTGCTTTATTCTGTTCTCGTGATAGTCTTGAAATGACTAATTTTTGTTCATTTTGGATCTGCTTTACAAAATCTATTATCACACTTAGTTAAGAGTTTGGAAAAACCTGGCTTTTGTCTGTTCTGCTTCAGAATTGTATTTGTACAACTAAATTATAGATGCCAGGCCAATTTTGGTGTGGAATCCTTTCATCCTAGTTTAAGCAGGTAATAATTAGACATTTTATACTTATTTGTTGATGAGGCTTTTTTCATCCAGAACATAAAGGTGTGAAGTTAACGGTGAAAATGTGTGTTGATGACTATTGAATTGATAATTACTGCAGATGCTTGTATACATTAGTTTTTTAGAAAGACTCCTACACACATTGAGAGATTTCAGTCTTCCATTAGTACTGAATAATTTTCTTCAAATTACTGTGACAGTGGATTTTAGATTTCATTGTAGAATCTTGTATTTAAATTTTATTCACTTAAACTATCCTTTAAAAAAAATACCAAACCTGAGTTCATCTGTAAGAACTGTAGGAAAAGGACCAGGGTAGCTCAGTGGTGGAGCACTGCTAGTATACACAAGGCCCTCAACTGATCCCAGCACCCACACAAAAGCAGCCTTGGGCTTCAGATGTGGTACTACATGTGTTTCTGCTTGCTCTCGATGTAGGTACACCCCCGGAAATGCCCAGAGAAGAACAGCAGTTGGCACATGCTCTGACTACAGGTTTGGAGGGCAGCAGTTTGAAGAAAAGCAGTTGGGGGATCTTAGTTCCTGCGATGGTTGGTGGGGCACTGGTGGCTTTGTACGCGGTGGCCACGCCGTTCATCACACCGGCACTGCGGAAAGTTTGCCTGCCTTTTGTACCCGCAACTTCCAAACAGATTGAAAATGTCCTGAAAATGTTGCAACGCAGACGGGGATCCGTCGTTGACATTGGTAGCGGCGATGGACGAATTGTGAGTTGTGCCAAAACGATCTGAGGTTTGGAACAGGAGTCGTTATGGTGTCTGCTTCACATTTCTTATGAGGCTTCTGCAAAGATTTTCCAAATCAGAGAGTTTGACAAAGTGGTTGTTTCATTTTGTGTTTGTTTGGCTAATCTGTTAGATTACCACTATGATTTTGGAATTAAGTTTTTTAGATTTAATTTTTTCTTCAAGGAGAAAGTACTTTGTAAATATGCCAGGTAAAAAAGAACAATTAACAGGTAAATTGTTAAAACTGTTGGGCCAGTGGACCGTAATTAGAAAAAGCATGTTGAATCATGGAGTTTCACCATTGTTACGTTTTTGCAGTGTAGATCTTTGCTTCCATATTTCTCTTTCTATGTGTGTACACACACACACACACACACACACACACACATACATGCATACATACATATATATTTATTTTGCTGGGACTGGGGTTTGAACTTAGGTCTTTACACTTTTAAAGCAGATGCTGTACTACTTGAACCATACCTCCAGTCCATTTTTGTTCTGGTTGTTTTGGAGATGGAATCTCATGACTTATTTGCCTGGGCTAGCCTCAAACTGTGATCCCCTGATCTCAGCCTCCCTTATTTGCCTGGGCTAGCCTCAAACTGTGATCCCCTGATCTCAGCCTCCGAAGTTTCTAGGATTATAGGTGTGAGCCACCAGCATCCAGCTTCTATTTATTTTTGCTTTAGTTACTTTTCATGTTTTTACCTGGGACCAACCTTGGACCTCAGTCCACCTACTTATGCCTCCCACATAGCTAGGATTACAGGTATTCATCACCATGCCCAACTTATGATTGAGATGGGGTCTTGCTAACTTTTTTGCCTGGGAGGGTCTCAAACCATGATATCCTGATCTCTGCTTCCTCAGTAGCTGGGATTAAAGGTGTGTACTAATTTCTCTCTGTTTATATATGAATAAGTAGTGATTCCTATGGGGTAGTAGAGTGTTAGAACAAGGAAGAACAATTGATGAACCCCGTTTGACTCCTACACACTGTGGCCCTGTCTGGAATCTAAAGTGATGACAAGGCCACAGATGAGGCTCCTCAGTGGCAGTGGCAGCACCCTGGCCATGAGATGATGAGGACAGCAGTGTTCTGAAGCCTGTGGAGACTAGCTGGGGCCGTGCCTCCTTTGACCTTACTCTGCCACACCGGGGACACTGACCCTTCTGTTCTGTGGTTGAGACCCAGAATAATCAGGGAGACACTGAAAACTGATCTAGATATTTTTAATTAAATTTTAAATAATTTCTCATATTGTGCTATAATATACATATATAAATATTTTTCATCTCAGCCATTTTAGGTGTTCAGTTCAGTGCTGTTAATTACACACATATTGTCCAGCCTTCACCATCACCATCTCCAGAACCCTTCATCTTGCAGAACCAAAAGTCTGAATTTATTAAACAATACTTCCCAGTGCCTTCCTTCCTTTAGCCTCTGACAACCCCTGGGGTTTATATTTAAGACATTGGGAATCATAAGTATTAACCAGAAGGATTCTTTCCTTGGAGCAAGTGCTCTACCACTGAGCTGCATCCCCCAGGCCTTAGGGATAAGTTTTTAAATGGTGTCTTCAACAAAGGAAGTGCCTTTTGACAGGATGATTTAGGATTATAAACTGCAAATAGGAAATACTCATATTGTTTGACCATGGAGGTTGATTTTTTTCTTCTTTTGGATAAATCCCTGCCTCTCTCCAGGTGATTGCAGCTGCGAAGGAAGGATTCACAGCTGTTGGTTATGAATTAAATCCCTGGCTAGTTTGGTACTCCAGGTACCGTGCCTGGCGAGAAGGGGTGCATGGCTCTGCCAAGTTTTATATTTCAGATTTGTGGAAGGTATGTAAGAAAAACTCAACTGACAACCACTTTATTTACAACTCGTATGACTGACAACCTGAAAAATGTATTAAAAGAAAAATAATGAAAATTCACGTGGGTATTTTGGTATAACAAAATGTATATACATTTTAAGCTGATGAAGTTTACAGATGGACTTTACCTTAGAGCAGAAGCTTAAAAGCTTTGATATATCATATGAATTCCAAGAATTTGTTGGCTAAATTAAAATGTTCTCATTTTATTTATCATGAAATAATGAGATTTTTCATCTCATATGGAAATCTTATAAATTATTATTGATAAATATTTGACTTTTCCATATGTGTGCATTTGTGTGTTTATGGGTTTGTGTAGTTAGAGAGACAGATGAATGATAGAAAAAAGAAAGAATGTGCCATAGTGGTTACTTTTTGTCCTCATGAAGTATGTGGTACTTTCAAATTTATTTGCACTCTAAAAAAAAGCCCTGTAATTTTGCTTTCAGAAAGCTCTATAAAATGCTTTTTCTTAAATAAGAATTTTCCATTGTAATGTTGTCATCAGTATCTTATAAAAATTTACTTGAATTTTACTTGCATTGTTTTTATACCTTATATAACTAAGCAATCTCTATAGAGTAAATAAGACTTTTATTGGGCAATAAGAGTTTTGGCTGGCAAAGCAGTTTTACCTCCAGTTTTTCAACTGTTGAAAGACCATTTTCTTGCACTTTTTACATAGTATTTTAGAGAAGAGGAAGGGGATTAGGATTTTAAGGATGTTTCAACATAAAACAGTTGATGTGAAATGGTTGAGTTCTTGCTAAGTTTGTTTCGTGTGGAGTGGAGTAGCAAAAGACCCTGTGGCCCGGGCCAGGTGTGAGCAGCATCTGGGCACTGGGGGTCCTTGGCTTTTCTGCCACAGGGCCCTGAGGGTGTTCCCTGCTTGGACTCCTCATCAGGATGAGATGAGTTACAGGGGGTCATTTTGAAAACTGACAGATTAGAGTAGCAGGAGTGAAAGCATATGTATGGTACTCTTCTTTGCGCCATTCTTTCTAGAAGTTTAGAAAGCCCGCCACTTGGCAGCATGGAAAATTGCTATCACTTCTGTGAAAGAAACGAAGTTTGGTGTTTGACTCCTAGAACTAACCTGCCGTGGTTTCCTGTCTCACATAGGTCACCTTGTCGCAGTGCTCGAACGTTGTTATTTTTGGTGTGCCCCAGATGGTGAGTATGCTCTTCCTGGTGTCTGTTTTGGGCAGATAATGCCAGTGCCAGCACCAGCGTGCCACTTTCACCCATTGCAGAGTGATGGTCTTCCAGAGACTGAGGGAAGTTCATTGGTTTAATAAAATGCTTCAGATCCTTTAAAGTCTAATAAAAGATTCCGTCATATTTTAAAACTTGTTTCAGATTAAAATCTCATGATGTACCTAAGCGTAAAAACTCAAGTTTGAAAACTGCTTTATGAGGTCCCCGTGTGGAATGCAGCTCATGATTTCACAGCTGCTCACTCACACCCAGCTGGAATCACTTGGAGAAATTAATGGGATGTTCCCTTTGAATTGATCAGTCCTCCAATTTTGCAGGAAGATAATTTTCGGAGTGGATGAGCATTGACTAGTTTCAATTTACCTCAATTGACTGATTTGCAAAAGAACTTAGTATTGAACTTTGATTATGTACTTTCAAAAGTGAGAATGCCTCAGCAGTGTGCTAAAAATGGTACTCACTGGCCTTTGAAAGAATGGTCAGGGTGGGATGCTTTTCCTGTAATTGCTGACTGATAGACCAGAGAAATAAATCCCTTTTTACTTTTCAAAGTTGTAATTGTAACCATAATAATCTTGGCAGAATTGGATGTTTGCTGAAATAGCACTGAATAATTGATGTGGTTTTTAATGTTGAAAAAAGGAAATTCACTCTTTTTGTTTTGTTTTCTTGTTTATACCTTAATTTTTTATGTAAAATGTTTCAGTGCTTGATAAATTTATTAGCATTTTCACTGTAATGCCATGTTCTTTAAATTTTTAAAGACAAATTAGAAATATTTTTGTTACATATTCTTTAAAGTGACAACATTCTATGTGTTTGTGTTATTAGGCCTAAGAATGGGTCCTAACTTGGGTATCTACACTTTTTTTTTTTTTTTGGTGGGACTGGGGTTTGAACTCAGGGCTTTGCACTTGGAAAGCAGGTGCTCTACTGCTTGAGCTACAGCTATCTATACTTTTGTTCTAGAAGTGAAGATAGGTAGGAAGGCATGGATTTAATAAAAGCTATCTGGTTTCATAGAATAGTATGTCGTTTTGATGGTGGTTTACTACTTACTATGATGTCTCGGCTTTCCTTTTAGAATGGAATAATAAGCATTTTGGAGACAAGTAACTTGCATTCTATACTTTATAAGAATAGAAAGTTAGTATTTATGGGGATTTCCACACTGTCTGGAGAGAGAGGATGTTGAGCTGAGGTGTGGATTGTGAAACCATGCTGCCTTGTCCCAGTGGGGGGCAGCAGTGGCCTTTGGTAATGCCCTGGCTACATTACCTCTCATGGCCAGTCTTCTGCCTGTCAGGTTTGAAGTCCACACAGGATTTGGAGCTGTTCACTTACCAGCAGTAAGAGTGGTTATTTTGATAAATGCTTTTGCAATTATTGCCCATTCTTCTGTACATAGAAGCATTGTAACCAAGGAATTTGCAGCATTTTAGTATTCTAAAGGAAAAAAGGGAACAGATGAAATACATGAGGTACTTACCTTCCCTGTAAGAAGACAGATCCAGCCAACGTGTGTTTTCCATTTGGTGGGTCGATCAAGGGTGCAAGGAGCCCAGATAGTTCTTTGTTGGTCTGGAGGGTCCCTACTTTCAGTTGTCATCAAGCTTTGCCTAAGTGGAGGTAGTGATGGGGAGGAGAGCTTGCTGACTGGGAAGTTGTGCCACGTCTGCCCTTCAAGAGTCATGGGACCCTGGGAAGGCCCTTTTACCTATCTGGGCCTGACCATGTCGTGCCACTATTAAATTGTATTCCCATTTTCCGAGTGCTGGTCAATGTAGCAGTCATGGCTGCATGCCTCAGCAAAGCCAGCATGCAGTGAAAGTGTTCTCATGGTGGCTGATGCACTGGCAGGTGATTGGAGAGCCAGGATGAGCTTTAGGGAAGTGCAGAAGTGAGACACCTGCTGTTGTGAGTCCTCAGCCCTGCTCTGATGCCAGGCTCATTAGTCCTAGTGGCTCAGGGCAGTTGTAGTTGGAAATTGAGCTAATGCTGTGATACACGCGTGTATCACAGTCGGATGAGGCATCCCATTTGGATCTAGTAAATCCAGTACCTGGATCACATGTAACACAAGCTGATGCACCAAGGTCTTCTTAAAGTGTGTCCTCACTTGAAACCCTTCTGTGACTTTCTCCTTGCTGCTTTTAAGGATAAAGCCTAGCCAGATGGTAGTGGTGCACAGCTGTAATCCCAGCACTAGGGAGTCTGAGACAGGAGGAACACAGGTTTGAGGCCAGCCTGGGCTTTTAAGACCCTCTTTCTAAAAACCAAACACACTACAAACAATAAAACAACAACCCTCAAAAAAAAAAAAAAAACAATTATAAGGCCCAAACCACAAGGCCCTGATGTGGGTGTGGCGTGGCCTCTATTCATTTTGGCCTCACCTTAGCCATACTTCCCTCACTCACTCTCTGCACAGACTGTCCCTGCAGTCCCTTGGTCTGGGCTGTGCTCCTTTTCCCAGAGCCCAGGGCTATACCTTCTTGCTGACTTCAGTCCTCTTGCTCTGAGCCTGGTTAGCAAGCACCTCCTGGTTGCTCACTACCAACTGTCCTTTCCTGAGTGAAGCTGTCCTGGATGGCCTCATGAGGTGAGCTCCAGCGCTCCCTGTCATCCAGTCCTATAGCTCAATGTTCCCCATCCTCAGATGAGGTATTGTGTGCTTCTTTGCCTGCCAGCTTCAACAGTGCTCTGCTCTGTGAACTCAAGGATGTGGACCAGCTGTCTTTGCTTCCTGACCTCCAGCACTGCATCCCTGAGCTCAGAGTAATCACTCAGTAAGTACTATTGAATGAATGAATATGGTATACACATGCCCGTTAGTTACAGTTTCCCCAGAAGGTGATTGATTTTTATAACTCCAAAGAACGACTAATTTTAGTTATAAATTCTGATGGAGAAAAGTGACTCATGACTGAATCATATACACTTCCTTCCTTTGTTCAATTGATAAGTATGGCTGCTATAATCACTTTGAATACTTCACTGAATAACAGAAAACACTCTTGCTTCTTGCTACTGGGGACAACAGATATTAAAAGAGGCACAAATATAAAATATATTGTATAATAGAATAAGTGCTATGGCATAATCAAAAGGGAGGGAGGGCCAGGAAGGACACAGTGTTCATGAGATGATGAGGGAGAGGGCTGTGCATGGGATAATGATCCAGGCCAAAGTGTACCACTTGAGAAGGGGCTGAGGGGAGTGTGGCTGGTGGGTTCAAGGAGCAGCAAAGCGGATGGGGGTGAAGGGTGATGTGAGCGAGGGGAGAACCAGAGAAGACATAGGGCCAGCATCTGAAGGACACTGCCTCTGGTAAGGGCAGGAACTGTTGAGAAGTGAGCAGAGGAGTGCAGGGACCAGTGGGGGCTGAAAAGGATAATGGCGTGTTGCAATAGAGACTAGATCCAGGGCAAACACTGTTGAAACTGGAGAGTTCTTGCAGGTGTCTAGACTATAGGTGCTGAGACTTGGACCAGGATAGATTAGCTGGTGAGAGTAGTCAAATTCTGGATGTGATGTGAAGGTAGAATCTAACAGGTTTAGTGTACAGATTGATGGGTGAGCGAGAGAGAAAGAGGAGTCAAGGGCAGCCCCATTGTATCTGCCAAGCTCCTAAGTTGTCAGGAACGGATCTGGGAGAGGTGCAGTGGTGTTTGCCAAAGTTATGCGTGGTCACGTGAAGTTCAGTGCACCTGCAAGCTGGCAGTCTTGGGGAAGAAGGAATCTGGGGTTAGGATGAGAGGACATCAGGAGGTGTGGGTGTGTCAGTGCACAAACACGGGGAAGCCCAGGAGGCTGAGAGTCACTGTGGGAGCGAAAACCTCAGAGGAGCTTCCCAAGTCTTGAAACTAACATTTGAGGTCTGGAAAGCAAAGTGTAACCAGCCAAGGACTCAGAGAGAGGAAGGGGAGCACTGCTCTGGGAGGAGGGAGAAGTCGTGGGTCAGTGCTGCTCATGGGTAGACCTGATTCGTCTCATGCCTTTGAGCTGGTTCCAAGTTATGTTTAAAGTTTTGAAGATATAATTAGAATATGATGAGTTTGTGTCACTTTGAAACCTATAATTGTGTGAATAATTTTGAATTCTATTAGACAAACATGACACATCACTGCTTCTCTTTGTGTATGATATCAAGAACCAGATTCATTGCATATTTATGTATAATTTAGTCAGTTAATTTCTCATGATTGAAATAGATCCTTTCATTTTTAGGTTTATCTTGACTTAGCATATGACAATCATTTGGAAATGAAAGAAACTATAAAAGAGAAATGAATAATAGTAATGTGAATAAGTTTACAATTATCTTTTCTATGAAGAAAATTACCATAAGAAACCTCTGACATTTTGGAAAAGCGCATTTTTGTCTCATTCTTTGCTTATTTAATTTTCCCTCAAGGAATAAAACTTATAAAAAATTCTTTACTGGCTGTTAGACGAATAGAAAGCGTTCACCCTTAATGGAATTTATTGTTTTCTTGGTATTGATTCTAATGAGGAATTAGAATTTTGTTTCACTCCAGCCATAGTTGTGTGGAGTTTTTTCCAAGCCACTTTTATAAGCTATAAATCGAGAGCAAAACCTTCATACAAGCACTATAGATTTGTTTGTCTTCTTCAGTTGGTTACTTTTTAAAGGAGTAGTTTTTGCTTAGATCTTGGTTTCTAAGTATCATTTTCACTAGGAATCTTTGAGAGGTGGCTGATCCAGAGCTTGGGAAAGGAAGATACAGAAGCCTGGAACATTTTGTTCAACCAGAATATAAAGAAGTACTCAAAATATTTAGTGGGAGTTTGTCCAAAGGATGGAAAAGTTAGCAACAGGAGGCTCACAGTGGCCAAATTAGGACAATTTCAGCTTTAGAATGAACAAGTACAGTAATGGATTATAACCCATTGAATGGAATAAGAATGTAGATGTTTGTGCTTGGGATAGACAGTTACAGGTAGGCGGGCAGAGGGAGGAGGGAAACTCTTCCTTATGCTAGAATGTGCGCTGTACATCCAGAAGAAATGATGGATTTAGCAAAGTGCCACTTTGCAGCTGTTAGAGTAGAAATGGATTCTGGTCAGAATCGTCAGGGAATGTGACTTCTAGGGCAGGGCAGGTTTGATGAGTAACAGGTGTTTTCATTACCTCCAGGTGTCTTTCCACAGCTGCTCACTCAGTATAAAAGGAAGGGCAGTAACTGCATTGTGGAGTCAGCAGATTTCACCCTAGTAAGTGGTGAATGTTACTCTCAGGGGCAGGTCTCCTGGGCTTCCACAGCCCTGATGAGTTCGCAGCTGGGGTATTGTCAGGATGCACGTGTGCTGAGCCTATCAGGAGCAAGTATGAGAGGACCCCAAAGTCTGGGCCATTCAGTCCATTGTCGTGAAACACTAAGACAGATAGGAACTGTTTCAGATCAAACGAGACCAAAGAAATGGTACCATTAAGTGTTGATGGTACACTTAAGTGATTCTGGACTGAGTCCTGCCCAGGGGGCAGTGTGATACAGGACGCCATTGGGACAATGACAAAATTAGAGTGTTGGAAATACTTTTGGGATACAATGTTGAGTTTCCTAAATAAGGTGATTATTCTTGGGAGTACGTAAGAAAATACTCATTTTTTATAACCATTAAAGAAGTAAACAGGTGTGTTTCATGCAACCTGTTTTCAGATAGTTTGGAAAAAATGTTCATAGAGAGAGGAAGAGAGCAAATGTGATAAGAAATGTGACAAAATGTTAACAGTTGGTGAACTTGGGTGATGGTATACAGTTCTTTGCTATTTTTGCACCTTGTCTGTAAATTTGAAATTATCTCAAAATAAGAAAGTGGAACAATGGTTTTTAGGATATGAAGTTGTTAATGTATTTTAGGAACTCCTGGCAAGTTTTCAAGCTGTTGTTAATTTGTTGATGTAATTAAAATGTCAACGCTTTTAGCAAACAAAAACACTTCATTGGTAGATTGCTGATAAAATTATATAAAAGCGATATACCTTAGATTGTCCAGAAGTCCATTATTGGGAATGGGGTATAGCTCAGTGGTAGAGAGGCACTCAGGATGGGTCAGATCCTAGGTTCAATCCCATCACCAAAAATTCATTATCAGTGTGGTATAGATATAGTTTAAAATTACGAAGTATTTCACAATATTTGTACTTGATAGAATGTGCATATTTTTTCATGGCCTAATTAAACCATATTTTATTGACTCCAAATGTTGATATTAAAATGTGCTGTTACTGTTGAGAAAAAATACTGCCAATTATAATCCTAAAATAATGTCAGCTGTCCGATATATCCTGACTGCAGAGATATTAAAAATGTAGAAAAATATGTCTTAAATATATGACACAGAGTTTGTCAAAATGTTTAATTACTGGGCGTTGGTATAGTGGGAGGGGGGAAGATATAAGGAAAGGGTGTAGGAGGTGAATATGGTGGAAATATTACATACACAGGTATGAAAATGGGAAAAATGAGACCTGTTGAAACTATTACAGGAATCTGGGGAGGGGAGATAAAGGAGAATGATGGAGGGGGGGGAATTCAACTATGATACATTGTAAGAACTTTAGTAAATGTCACAGTGTATACCCAGTACAACAATAATATGATAATAAAAAATGGAAAAAAGAAATGTTTGATTAGGTAACTAAAATACTTCTTATTTTAATTATTGCCATGTCATAACTTTAATCAGAAAACTGGAAATCTCTGATTCACATCTGCTAAAAATGGCATATTTTCTAATTGATATTACAGTTCTTATAACTGTTGTTAATGTGTCTTCTTTATGTTAATAGATTGTTTGATAAGGTACTTGTGCCCTGGAGTAATTTTTATAAGTGTTTTCAGTAAATTCATAAGGGCATTTTGGAGTCATTTCCTCTGCCTCATCCCTTACTGAACTAATGGCTGTTATTCTCCACAGATGCCACAGTTGGAGAAGAAACTTGAAGTTGAACTTGAGAATGATGCAAGAGTCATTGCTTGCCGATTCCCTTTTCCCCACTGGACACCGGATCATGTCACTGGAGAGGGGATAGACACTGTGTGGGCTTATGATGTGAGCACTTTTAGAGGAAAGGAAAAGAGGCCCTGAAAATCCTGCATCTCCAGAAAGTCATTCAGATAGAAACTTTCTGAAATGTTGATCTCATTTGATTTTGTAGAGACTGAAAGCTGTGTCTTTGGCAACAGAGCATAGTTTTCTTTGTGTGGAATGAGACATCACTGTTACTTTCCTTACCTCTTAGAGAAAACAAACAGGAGCTAAGAAAAACAGATTGATTTAAAATTCGTTTTTATTGGAACATTCTAAATAAATGTGCTTACTGCCTTTTCATGCACTGGGATGCATGAAAATAAGAATATTTATTCATCTGAAGATCATGTTTATGGTCAGAAAGATGTCAACAACACTACATTATAAGCAGTATGGATTAATACCACAGATGAGGAGAGAAGATTTTTATTTAGTTACTTTTTCTTGGAAAAAGTAATAGTAAAGTTTATTAGGAAAGGAATACACTTTCAACAGACTGAAAGTGTGTTGTCTCTGGAGTTGAGAGCAATGGGGTTAAGGGGAAGAGAAAGAAAGAGAGAGACATTTCCTATTCCCCAGGGAGGAAACGGGAGCAAACAGTCTGAGAAATGATTTTTAAACGGAGTATGTATTAGCAGATGTTTGTCATTTCCTACAACCTTATTCATACTTCAGACTTATCTCTTTCTTTTCTGTACTTTATGACAAAATTAATTTTCTAAAGGATTTAGAGAACCATTTACATTTTGTAACATTTATGAGAAATAATTTACTCCAAGGTTAGTGTATTAGTGTATTTAATTCAAGATACACACATGTATATGAGTATACATATGTAAAAATGGGTGTAGATAAACATGAATAAATTGTATCATTTCTGAAATTGTGACGTGCCTTCCTATTAAAGGTGAGTTAAAGCTTTAATTGGCACTGTTGTAAATCTTGATGAAGCTGTGCTTTACAGTTTATAATTTGATAATTAGATTTGATGAAATAAGTATTCAGAAAAGAATCCCTGGCACAGTGGAGTAATTGGTAAGATTTTTTTTCCTACTTGGGCAGTCCAGGGGTTTGAACACAGGGCTTCCTGCTTGCTAAGCAGTCACTCTATCACTTGAGCCATGCCTCCATGCAATTTTTGCTCTGATTTTTTTTTAATTTTAATTTTTTTATTATTTATATGTGCATACAATGCTTGGGTCATTTCTCCCCCCTGCCCCCACCCCTGCCCTTACCACCCACTCTGCCCCCTCCTTGTCCCCCCCACCCTCAATACCTGGCAGAAACTATTTTTCCCTTATCTCTAATTTTGTTCTAGCGAGAGTATAAGCAATAATAGGAAGGAACAAGGGTTTTTGCTAGTTGAGATAAGGATAGCTATACAGGGAGTTGACTCACATTAATTTCCTGTGTGTGTGTGTTACCTTCTAGGTTAATTCTTTTGATCTAACCTTTTCTCTAGTTCCTGGTCCCCTTCTCCTACTGGCCTCAGTTGCTTTTAAGGTTTCTGCTTTAGTTTCTCTGAGTTGAGGACAACAAATGCTAGCTAATTTTTTAGGTGTCTTACCTATCCTCATATCTCCCTTGTGTGCTCTTGCTTTTATCTTGTGATCAAAGTTCATTCCCCTTGTTGTGTTTGCCCTTGATTGAATGTCCGCATATGAGGGAGAACATATGATTTTTGGTCTTTTGGTCCAGGCTAACCTCACTCAGAATGATGTTCTCCAATTCCATCCATTTACCAGTGAATGATAACATTTCGTTCTTCATGGCTGCATAAAATTCCATTGTGTACAGATACCATATTTTCTTGATCCATTCGTCAGTGGTGGGGCATCTTGGCTGTTTCCATAACTTGGCTATTGTGAATAGTGCCGCAATAAACATGGGTGTGCAGTTGCCTCTGGAGTAACCTGTGTCACAGTCTTTTGGGTATATCCCCAAGAGTGGTATTGCTGGATCAAATGGTAGAACAATGTTTAGCTTTTTAAGTAGCCTCCAAATTTTTTTCCAGAGTGGTTGTAGTAGTTTACATTCCCACCAACAGTGTAAGAGGGTTCCTTTTTCCCTGCATCCTCGCCAACATCTGTTGGTGGTGGTGTTGCTAATGATGGCTATTCTAACAGGGGTGAGGTGGAATCTTAGTGTGGTTTTAATTTGCATTTTCTTTTTTGCTAGAGATGGTGAGCATTTTTTCGTATGTTTTTTGGCCATTTGAATTTCTTCTTTTGAGAAAGTTCTGTTTTGTTCACATGCCCATTTCTTTATTGGTTCATTGATTTTGGGAGAATTTAGTTTTTTAAGTTCCCTGTATATTCTGGTTATCAATCCTTTGTCTGATGTGTAGCTGGCAAATATTTTCTCCCACTCTGTGGGTGTTCTCTTCAGTTTAGAGACCATTTCTTTTGTTGAACAGAAGCTTTTTAGTTTTATGAGGTCCCATTGCTGTGCTGCTGGGTTCCGTTGAGAAAGTTCTTACCTATACCTACTAACTCCAGAGTATTTCCTACTCTTTCCTGTATCAACTTTAGAGTTTGTGGTCTGATATTAAGATCCTTGATCCATTTTGAGTTAATCTTGGTATAGGGTGATATACATGGATCTAGTTTCAGTTTTTTGCAGACTGCTAACCAGTTTTCCCAGCAGTTTTTGTTGAAGAGGCTGCTTTTTCTCCATCATATATTTTTAGCTCCTTTGTCAAAGACTAGATGGTTATAGTTGTGTGGCTTCATGTCTGGGTCCTCTATTCTGTTCCACTGGTCTTCATGTCTGTTTTTGTGCCAGTACCATGCTGTTTTTATCGTTATTGCTTTGTAATACAGTTTGAAGTCAGGTATTGTGATACCTCCAGCATTGTTCTTTTAACTGAGTATTGCCTTGGCTATTCGTGGCCTCTTGTGTTTCCATATAAATTTAACGGTAGATTTTTCAGTCTCTTTAATGAATGTCATTGGAATTTGATGGGAATTGTATTAAACAAGTAGATTACTTTTGGGAGTACAGACATTTTTACCATGTTGATTCTACCAATCCATGAGCATGGGAGATCTCTCCACTTTCTATAGTCTTCCTCAATCTCTTTCTCAGAAGTTTATAGTTTTCCTTGTAGAGGTCTTTCACATCTTTTGTTAGGTTTACACCTAGGTATTTGATTTTTTTTGAGGCTATTGTAAATGGAATTGTTTTCATACATTCTTTTTTAGTTTGTTCATTATTGGTGTATAGAAATGCTAATGATTTTTCTATGTTGATTTTATATCCTGCTACCTTGCTGTAGCTATTGATGATGTCTAGAAGCTTCTGAGTAGAGTTTTTTGGGTCTTTAAGGTATAGGATCATGTCGTCTGCAAATAGGGATATTTTGACAGTTTCTTTACCTATTTGTATTCCTTTTATTCCTTCTTCTTGCCTAATTGCTCTGGCTAGGAGTTCCAGTACTATGTTGAATAGGAGTGGAGATAGTTGGCATCCTTGTCTAGTTCCTGATTTTAGAGGGAATGTTTTCGGTTTTTCTCCATTAAATATAATGCTGACTGTAGGTCTGTCATATATAGCTTTTATAATGTTGAGGAACTTTCCTTCTATTCCTAGTTTTCTTAGAGCTTTTATCATGAAATGGTGTTGGATCTTATCAAAGGCTTTTTCTGCATCTATTGAGATGATCAAGTGGTTTTTGTCTTTGCTTCTGTTAATGTGGTTTATTACGTTTATTGATTTTTGTATGTTGAACCACCCCTGCATCCCTGGGATGAAACCTACTTGGCCGTGGTGAATGATCTTTTTGATGTGTTGTTGAATTCAGTTTGCCATTATTTTATTGAGGATTTTTGCATCAATGTTCACTAAGGAGATTGGCCTGTAGTTCTCCTTTTTGGAGGTGTCTTTGCCTGGTTTTGGGATAAGTGTAATACCGGCTTCATAAAATGTGTTAGGCAGTTTTCCTTCCCTTTCTATTACGTGGAACAGTTTAAGGAGTGTTGGTATCAGTTCTTCTTTAAAGGTCTGGTAGAATTCAGCAGAGAATCCATCAGGTCCTGGACTTTTCTTTTTGGGGAGACTCTTGATTGCTGCTTCAATTTCATTTTGTGTTATAGATTTATTCAGGTGATTAATTTCCTCTTGGTTCAGTCTTGAATGATCATATGTATCTAGAAATCTGTCCATTTCTTAAAGATTTTCAAATTTAATTGAATATAGGTTCTTGAAGTAGTCTCTGATGATTTCCTGGACTTCCATGGTGTGTTGTTATCTCCCCTTTTGCATTCCTGATTCTACTAATTTGGGTGTTTTCTCTCCTCATTTTAGTCAGGTTTGCCAGGGGTCTGTCAATCATGTTTATTTTTTCAAAGAACCAACTTTTTGTTTCATCAATTCTTTGTATGGTTTTTTTGGTTTCTGTTTCATTGATTTCAGCTCTTATTTTTATTATTTCTCTCTTTCTATTTGTTTTGGGATTTGCTTGTTCTTGTTTTTCTAGGAATTTGAGATGTACCATTAAGTTATTGATTTGGGATCTTTCACTCTTTTTAATATATGCACTCATGGCTATAAACTTTCCTCTCAGACTGCTTTGCTGTGTCCACAGGTTCCGGTAGATGTGTTTTCATTTTCATTACCAGGAATTTTTTTCCTCTTTTATTTCATCAATGACCATTGTTCATTAAGTAAGGAGTTATTTAGTTTCCAGCTGTTGCATGTTTTTTCTTACTTTTGTTGTTGAGTTCTAGTTTTACTGCATTGTGATCAGATAGTATGCACGGTATAATTCTATTTTCTTATATTTGCTGAGCTTGCTTTGTGCCCTAGGATGATCTATTTTGGAGAAGGTTCCATGGCTGCTGAGAAGAATGTATGCGTTAGAAGTTGTGAAATGTTCTGTAGACATCAAGTGAGGTCCATTTGATCTATTGTATATTTTTGCATCTTGATTTCTTATTGATTTTGTTTGGATGAACCTATCTTATTGATAATGGGTTTAAAGTCTCCACACCACTGTGTTTGAGTTAATATATGCTTTTAGTCTTCAGGGTATGTTTGATGAATTGGGTGCATATAGGCTGATAATTATTATTTCCTTTCGTCTGTTTCCCTTTTTATAGTTTGAATGTGCTTCTTATCTCATTTGATCAATATGTTTGAAGTCTACTTTGTCAGAGATAAGTATTCTACTCCTGCCTGTTTCGGGGGCCATTGGCTTGGTAAATCTCTTCCAGCCTTTCATCCTAGCCTATGCTTATTCTGTCAGTGAGATGGTCTCCTGTAAAGCAACAAATTGTTGGAGTCTTCCTTTTATCCTATTTCGTCAAACGTGCCTTTTGATGGGTGAATTAAGTCCGTTAACATTAAAGTTTAGTACTGATAGGTATGTGGTGATTCCTGCATTTATCTGTCTAGTGTTGAAGGTTTGGTTGTGTGTACCTAAATTGAAGTTACTGTCTACTTTCTGCTTTTCTTTTCCTGTAGTTTGGTGCTGCCTGTCATTTTATGGTTAATGTTGGCTCACTTTCTGGTGCAGAATCCCTTGAAGAATCTTTTGTAGAGGTGCGGTTTTTTTGTCTTTTCTTATTGGTGCTGGGATCGAGCCCAGGGCCTACCATGCAGCAAGTCTGTACCACCAACACTCCAGCCCTCTCCATCTATTTTGGAATGATCGTTTTTGCTGGTAGAGTCCTGGGTTGAAGTTATTTTCATTCAGTGCCCAGAAGATCTCACCCCACTTCTTCTTGCTTTTAATGTTTCTGTTGAGACGTTCTTGCTGTGATTGATGGTTTACCTTAGTATGTTATTTGTTTTTTCTCTCTACGGCCTTCAATATTCTTCCTTAGTTTCTGAACTTGTTGTTTTA